AATGACTGGGTTGAGTGTGTTCCAAATGGCGGGAACTGCATGTGCAGAAGCCTGGAGGTGAGGAGAACTTGGGCATGTCTGGGAGCTGAAGGGTTTGTTGTGGCTGGAACATAAAGAGCCAAAGTGGGCTGGGCAGTGGTTCACACCTACAATCCCAGCACTCTGGGAGGCTGAGGTGGGCAGATCACCTGAGGTCAGGAGTTCAAGACCAGCCTGGCCAATATGATGAAACCCTGTCTCTACTAAAAATACAAAAAAAAAAAAAATCCATTAGCTGGGCGTAGTGGCGCACGCCTGTAATCCCAGCTACTCAGGAGGCTGAGGCAGGAGAATCACTTGAACCCAGGAGGTGGAGGTTGTGGTGAGCCGAGATCATGCCACTGCACTCCAGTCTGGGCGACAGAGCAAGACTCCTCTCCAAAAAAAAAACCAAAAAACAAAAAAACACACACACACAAGAGTGAGTGATGAGACCAGAGAGTTGGCTGCACCAGCAGAGGGCGCCGGAGAGCCAAGGAGGAATCTAAGCAGGAGAGGGGTGGGAGCAGATCTGTGGTGTGGAATTCTCCATCCATCAGTGATGGATTGGGGGTGGGGAGACTGGCTGGGAGCCCAGGGGGAGGTTGGGCTGCACTAGTGCAGGGCTGTGGGGATGAGGCAGGAGGCAGGTGGGAGAGACCTTCACGGGCTGAATGACCAGGCCTCAGAGCTAGGGGCTTATTGGTAAGGGAGGTGACCAAGATGAGGTCCAGAGCTCTGGTGGGGCCTGCAGACCATGGAGTGGTCCCTGAGACCAGGTCCAGGAAAAGGAGCAGGTGTGGGGAAGATGCTGAGGCAAGTTTGGGACCTGAAGAGTCAAGAAGCAGCCTCCTTTTTGCCTGTTAGCTTCATTCTGATGCTTCCCTTGCTGATTGGGTCACCTTGTCCACCTACCCTGACATGCACCACAGGCCCCAGGCCTTGGAACCAGCCCCAGCCTTGGCCTTTCCTGCCCCCATTTCACCTTGAGTTCTAAGAATGAGCCCTGAGCCTGTGTCCCCTGGAGCGTGGGCCTCAGTCCCATGTTGGGAGCAGGACAGGCTGACCAAGCTGTCCCCATCCTCCAGGGGGGCATGTGCTCCGTGTACCTGAAGGACAGTGAGAAGGTCGTCAGCATTTCCAGTGAGCACCTGGAGCCCATCACCCCCACCAAGAACAACAAGGTAAGGGCAGGGGGCAAGGAGATAAGATGGGGGTGTTGGGTGCTGACACGGACCCTGACCACGTTACCCCCACCCCCAGGTGAAAGTGATCCTGGGCGAGGATCGGGAAGCCACGGGCGTCCTGCTGAGCATTGATGGTGAGGATGGCATTGTCCGTATGGACCTTGATGAGCAGCTCAAGATCCTCAACCTCCGCTTCCTGGGGAAGCTCCTGGAAGCCTGAAGCAGGCAGGGCGGGTGGACTTCGGCAGGTGAAGAGTGGTCCTCCTTCCTTCCCTGGCCCTTGGCTATGACACAAGATCCTGCTGCAGGGCTAGGCCGATCGTTCTGGATTTCCTTTTATTTTTCTTTTTAGTTTTCCATCTTCTCCCTCCCTGGTGCTCATTGGAATCTGAGTAGAGTTTGGGGGAGGGTCCCTACCTTCTTGTACCTCCTCCCCACAGCTTGCTTTTGTTGTACCGTCTTTCAATAAAAAGCTGTTTGGTCTAAAAGTGTGTGTGTGTGTGCGCGAGCGTGCGCGCGCACGCCGTGGGAATGAGGTGTCTTTAAGTGGGGTCATTTGCAGACCCCACTTCCTTGCTTTGTGGTTGGGGCAAATAACAGGATGCTACCTGAATCTGTTTTCCCATCTAGATAATAGTGATAGTACCTGCCCCAGAGGGCTCTTGAGGGGAATGTGTATGAGAAGACATAGGAAGGAGATGATCAGAGTAGAGCTTGTCATGTGATTGAAGACATTATATCTTATTCAGGCATGAATTATGCAAAGTGAAAATCACAGTATCCTCCAGGAAACCTAAATTCCTCCTGTGGTGCAGGATACAGTGCTTGATGGTCTTTTTTGTTTTTTCTTTCTTTTTTTTTTTTTTTTTTTTTTTGAGACAGTCTTGCTCTGTCACCAGGCTGGAGTGCAATGGCACGATCTTGGCTCACTGTAACCTCCGCCTCCCAGGTTCAAGCGATTCTCCGGTATCAGCCTCCCCAGTAGCACGCGCCACGACACCCAGTGAATTTTTTTGTATTTTTAGTAGAGATGGGTTTCACCATGTTGGCCAGGATGGTCTTGATCTCTTGACCTCATGATCTGCCCGCCTCGGCCTCCCAAAGTGCTGGGATTACAGGCGTGAGCCACTGCGCCCAGCCTTTTTTTTTTTTCCTCCTCCGAGGTGGAGTCTCTCTGTCGCCCAGGCTGGAGTGCAGTGGCATGATCTCAGCTCACTGCAACCTCCACCTCCTGGGTTCAAGCAATTCTGCCTCAGCCTGCCGAGTAGCTGGGAGTACAGGTGCAAGCCACCATGCCTGGCTATTTGTTTTTCTTTTTTTTTTTTTGTAGTTTTAGCAGAGACGGGTTTCACCATGTTGTTCAGGCTGGTCTTGAATTCCTGACCTCGTGATTCGCCCGCCTCGGCCTCCCAAAGTGCTGGGATTACAGGCGTGAGCCACTGCGCCTGGCCAATGGTCCTTTATTTTTTCTTTTCTGTTTGAGATGGGGGTCTCACTCTCTTGCCCAGGTTGGAGTTCAGTGGCACAGTCATTGCTCACTGCAGCCTCAACCTCCTGCGCTCAAGCGATCCTCTTGCCTCAGCCTCCTAAGTAGCTGGGACTACAGGCGTGCGCCACCACGTCTGGATAATTTTTTTATTTTTAAATTTTTTATAGAGACGGATCTCACTATATTGCTCAGGCTGGTCTCGATCTCCTAGATTCAAGTGATCCTCCTGCCTCGGCCTCCCACAGTGCTGCAGTTACAGGCGTGAGCCACAGTGCCCGGTGGTCCTTTTCCTTGAACCCTGATAGCAGTGACACCAGGATTGCTGTAGCTTATCCAGTGGGTGCAATCTTAGAGACTGGGGCTTAGTACCCAGGACCTGTTTCCCTTCCTCGTTAGATATTCCTGTCTTTTTACAAATGTAAGTGTATTATAAAACATTTCAGGCAGGGCACGATAGCTCATGCCTGTAATCCCAGCACTTTGGGAGTCCAAGGGGGGCGGATCATTTGAGGTCTGGAGTTAAAGACCAGCCTGACCCAACATGGTGAAACCCTGTCTCTACTAAAAATACAAAAAAAGTTAGCCGGGCATGGTGGTGGGAGCCTGTATTCTCAGCTACTTGGAAGGCTGAGGCATGAGAATCACTTGAACCTGGGAGGTGGAGGTTGCAGTGAGCCGAGATTGCGCCAACTGCACTCCAGCCTGGGTGACAGAGCAAAACTCTGTCTCAAAAACAAAAAATATTTCAGATGTTCAAGGTTATATACCAAGAACACCCATGTCCCCACCACCCAGCGGAGGAAACAGGAAACAATATGTACTAGATAGGACCTACTTCAGCAGCACCCCAATCCATCCCCCCAGAAGTAACCAGGAGTGCCGAGTTCCTTGTGTCTTTCCCTTGCTTGAATTCGTATTTTTACTACCTTGGTATTTGGTTTTAAAGTTTACATAAACAGGATCTGATTTTTCTTCCACTCAATTTAGGGGAGGTTTGTAGTGTCTATCTATAGCCTCTAATTCGTTTGTCAGTCAAGCCCTGTACAGCCAGATACTGCTGTTCTTGGGCTGAGCCTCAGGTATAATGGTTGGCTCTCCAGTTCTTTATAGAAAATCATGGTAGGAAGGGGCCGGGTGCAGTGGCTCACGCCTGTAATCCCAGCACTTTGGGAGGCCGAGGCGGGCGGATTACAAGGTCAAGAGATCGAGACCATCCTGGCTAACACAGTGAAACCCGGTCTCTACTAAAAATACAAAAAAAGTAGTAGGGCATAGTGGCGGGCACCTGTAGTCCCAGCTACTCGGGAGGCTGAGGCAGGAGAATGGCATGAACCCGGGAGGTGGAGCTTGCAGTGAGCCGAGATCGCGCCACTGCACTCCAGCCCTGGTGACAGAGCAAGACTGTCTCAAAAAAAAAAAAAAAAAAAAAAAAAAGTAGGAAGGAATGGGAGAGAAAACAGATTCCTCCTCCCAGCTCCATGTGAGGAAGAGTTTTATTATTAATTTTAATTTTTTTGAGACGGAGTCTCCCTCTGTCTCCCAGGCTGGAGTGCAGTGGCACCATCTAGGCTCACTGCAACCTCCGCCTCCCGGGTTCAAGCGATTATCCTGCCTCAGCCTCCCCAGCAGGTGGGACTACAGGCGTGCGCCATCATGCCTAATTTTTTTTTTTTTAATTTTTAGTAGAGAGGGGGTTTTGCCATATTGGCCAGGCTGGTCTCAAACTCCTGACCTCAGGTGATCCGCCTGCCTCAGCCTCCCAAAGTCCTGGGATTATAGGCGTGAGCCACCGCGCCTGGCCTATTATTATTAATTTTAAAAATAGAGATGGCAGTCTTGCTATGTTATCCAGGGTGGTCTCAAACTCCCGGCCTCAAGCAATCCTCCTGCCTCGGCCTCCCAAAGCGCAGGGATTACAGGTGTGAGCCACCGCGCCTGGCCAAAAGAGTTTTCGAGGACTGGCTTTTTTCAGGTCGCTTTCAGGTCCTCAATCTATATTTCTGACAATTGGGAGGTGAGGGCCGATGCCCTTACACGGTGAGACAAGCGACCTGACTCGTGACTATTTTTGTGTGTGTGATCCCTTCCCTCGCTGAGTCCTTCGCAGGGGCGGTGGCGCTCTGCAAGGCCCAAGCGGGGCGTGGTCCAGATGACTTTGGATCCCAGTTGGCGCCCCCCCAGGGGTAGCCAGGAGAATGGTTAGAGGCTAGCGCGCCTGCAGCAATCCGCCCGATGACTTTGGTCTCTCTCGGGCTTCCGTCCACCCGCCCCGCCTCCGCGCTTCCATTGGCTGTAGCTCCGGCCCGGGGCGGGTGAAAAGGGAGCGAGTGGGCGGGGCCGCGTGGCGTCAGCGCAAGATGGCGGCCTCGGCAGCGCTGTTCTCGCGCTTGCGGAGCGGGCTTCGGCTCGGCTCGCGGGGACTGTGCACGAGGTTGGCGACGCCGCCCCCCCGGGCCCCAGATCAGGTGAGCGAAACGAGGGTGGCGCTCTGAATGTGGGGTCCCTTCCCTGGAGTTCCGGACATATCGCCGCCCCTTGGGGGTTCCGGGACGCCTCACCTCAGGGTGCTGAATGAAACGCCGCTTGCGTTTTGGGGCCCTTCCCAGCCTCCTGGGTGGACAACACTTGCTCCCCTAGGCTGGAGGCTGGGAACCCAGATGTGTCCTCTAGACCCCACCTCCCACCCACGTGGGTGCCGGAGGAGGAGAAGGTTACCGGTTCCCCATCTCAGTGACCACTCAGGTGATACTTGAGCAGGAGGGGCCTGGTACGCTGGAGTCCCAGTCTGGCCGTGGGAGTTATTTTCTCTGTGGCGTTGGTGGCGATGAGGTAGACGTTTGGGTTTCTAGTTCGACCTGCCTCCATGTTGACAGAGACCCAGCCATTCTGACCTCCAACTCTATCACTTCTGTGCCCGAGTTCCCCAAGCCCCAGACAAATGATTTCCCCTCCCCGCCTCCGCTCCCATCCCTTACCCTGTAACTCTGCTACCTTTAGCCCCAAGCAGCCGGATGTCGTAACTCCCCGTCCTGTCTGTCCCCCTTCCCCCACCACTTGTGACCTCCGTTTCCTCTCATCGCAGTGTTTAGGCCCTCCCATCCCTTATTCTCCGTGCTCTGCTTTTCTGGACTGCAGACCCTCCAGTCCTGTTGCCTTCAGGATCCTGTGCACCTGGCCTGTTAGCTCTTAAAACTCCTGGCATCCTGGTGCGGGACAGTCTGCTTTTGACCCTCTGACCGCCCCACTTCCTGACTGCGCCTCCAGGGACACAGATGTCCAGGGCTCTGTGGGTGTCTGCCTCTTGGCTCCTGAACTTGATTCTTATTGTACTGGAAGGTTGGAACCATCCTGACCTCTCTTCTCTCTTAGCTGACCTCCCCTTTCTCAATCGCAGGCCGCAGAAATCGTGAGCCGCGGGGGCGCTAAGGCACAAGGGCCACAGCAGCAGCCGGGTTCAGAGGGTCCCAGCTATGCCAAAAAAGTTGCGCTCTGGCTTGCTGGGCTGCTTGGAGCTGGTGGGACCGTGAGCGTCGTCTATATCTTTGGTGAGGGACATATCCCTGCCCCCTAGTTTTGTTCCTTGGCCTCCCTAGTCCACTGTGAAATCTCCCACTCTTACCCACTACCAACGTGTCTCATCTTCATTCCCTGGCTCCTTCCTCAATAGGGCAGCCAAATAGGACACCTACCTTGAAAACCAGGGAAGTCTTCTTTCTTCTCCCTTCTGCTCCTTGAGGTTCTAGTCTTTCTAGTTGGTTCCTGTACCAGGATACAGGAAAGAGGGAAAGATGGGGAAGGATAGGCCTGAATCAGCTTCCTAAACTTTGTCTTTACTCAGAACCCAAAAATCCAGCCTTCCACTAGTTCCTTTATCCCACAGACCCAAGAGACCCAGCCCCAGCCCCCTTTCTCTCAAAGACCCAGGAATCTTGGCTCCCAGCCCCCTCCTGGCTTGAATCCAGGAGGCTGTGCCTCTGACTCTCTTTCCTCAGATCCAGGAGTCCAGGCCCTTTATCCCACTCCTCCCTCAGGACCCAGGGGACTGGGCCCTAATTCCTCATATTCATCCTGGTCTCCCTTGCAGGAAACAACCCAGTGGACGAAAATGGTGCCAAGGTGAGGGGGAAAGAGACTGAGGCCTTGCCAGGAGTCCTAGCCTGTGGGTGAGAGGGGTCCTCTTTGGTCTGTTCAGGCACATTGCTTGTCTGGAGTGAGCCTGTCTTTCCCAGTGACCTTTGCCTATTCCTGTTGGGGTCCTGGAGATTCCTTTTCTGTATGTGATGGGGTTCTGCCTCTGACATCCTAAACCTTCCATTTTTCTCTCCACCTCCCAGATTCCTGATGAGTTTGACAATGGTGAGTAAACAAGCACAGATTCTGGAGTCCCTGACCCTCTCAACTCTGTCATTTGTAAGGATGTCTCTCTCTCCCCATCTGGTGTCTCCGGCCCCTCCTCCTTCCACTGAGGAGGTGGGGGAGCCAGCAGCTGGATGGCGTTGTGGGCAGGGACATTACAAAGCCCAAGCCTGCTTCCCTGGCCCCTCAGCCCCGAGCAGATGGTCAGAGACAGATGGGGGAGGGGAGCCTTGGGTGGGAGGGCTTGGGGACACAGGGTGGCCTATCTCCAGACACATGGGTTCCTGTGTCTTAGACCAAGCATCTGCAGCTCCCAACTCCTTCCCCATCCCCCTCAAGCCCCTACCCCATTAGGCTCATTTTCAAAACAATGCCTCCTTCCTCCCTCTCCATCTGGTTAACCAGCTTTTGGTGGTGAAGTTTATGACAAATTGGATAGTAGAGATTAGTTGTCAATCGTGTCATACCTGGCCCTTCCCAGGAGAAAAATGAAATTGGTGGGTCCAGAAAGCCACCTGTTTATGTTGGGGGACATTTGAAACAGTCATGTTAATACATTGATTGTTTCAAACTGGGCAGGTGGGTGAGTGCCATTTTAACTGGGCAGTTGTAGAATCATGCTGTCTTCAACAAATAATATGCTGATTTAAATTGGGCAGGTAAATCTGAAGTTTTAAAGTGTGTGTGTTTACTAGCCTAATTGGTTTCAATACTGTGTTTTTTTGTTTTTATTTTTTATTTTTTTGAGACATAGTCTTGCTCTGTTGCCCAGGCTGGAGTGCAGTAGTGCAATTTTGGCTCACTGCAACCTCCACCTCCCAGGTTCAAATATTTCTCGTGTCTCAGCCTCCCAAGTAGCTGGGAGTACAGGCGCACACCACCACGCTCAGCTAATTTTTATATTTTTAGTAGAGGCAGAGTTTCGCCATGTTGGTCAGGCTGGTCTCAAACTCCTGACCTCAGGTGGTCCACTCGCCTCGGCCTCCCAAAGTACTGGGATTATAGGCATGAGCCACCACTCCTGGCCCAATATATTGTGTTTTTTTAAAGAGGAACGCCCATGTATTGCCCTAAAAATACTGTATTAAAGTAGGCAGCTATGTAAGTTTACTGTTTATACTGGATTCATTAGCTGGGAGTGGTGGCCTGTGCCTGTGGCCCCAGCTACTCAGTGGCTGAGTTGGGAGGATCACTTGAGCCTGGGAGTTACAGGCTGCAGTGAGCTGTGATCCCGTCACTGCACTCTAGCCTGGACGACAGAGTGAGTCTCCACCTCTAAAAAAAAATAAGTTAAAATGAGAAAGTAAACTGGAGTCAGTATATTCACTTAAACCAGGGTTTTTCACCCTTGGCTCTATTGACACTTTGGACCAGATAATTCTTATAGAGGACTGCCCTGTGCATTGAAGGATTTTTGTAGCATCCTGGGCATCTGCCTACTAGATGCCAGTATTGCGACAATCAATTACATCTCCCAGCATTGCCAAATTTCCCCGGGGTAGGTGTGCAGACAAAATTGTTCCTAGTTCTGAACCACTGTTTTACAGTGTACAGATGTGTTTATATATTAATTGTGGTTTAGATTCAGCACACTGGCTTAAAGTGGGCAGATCTGGAAGCCTAGTGATTCAAAGTGGGGAAAATACACTGGCATAAATTAGGTGCAGTGGCTCACGCCTGTAATCCCAACACTTTGGGAGGCCAAGGCGGGAGGATCACTTGAGCCCAGGAGTTCAAGACCAGCCTGGTCAACAGAGCAAGACTCTGTCTGTCTCTATAAAAAAAGTATGTATACACTGGCGTAATGTCAGCAGATTTATGTGTATGTGGGTTATTTATTTATTTTTTTAAGACAGTCTCACTCTGTTGCCAGGCTGGAGTGCAGTGGCGTGATCTCGGCTTGCTGCAACCTCCACCTTCCAGGTTCAAGTGATTCTCTTACCTCAGCCTCCTGAGTAGCTGGGACTACAGGCACGTGTCACCACGCCCGGCTAATTTTTTTTTTTTTTGTATTTTAGTAGAGACGGGGTTTCACCATGTTGGCCAGGATGGTCTTGATCTCCTGACCTCGTGATCCATCTGCCTCAGCCTCCCAAAGTGCTGGGATTACAGGCACGAGCCACCATGCCTGGCCTTGTATGTGGGTTTTAAGTGGGCCAATGTATAAGCATTCTGTTTCATACCTGTGGTAGTATGTGGATATAAGTATCAGCTTAAAACGGGGCAGGTAAATGAATCTCTGTTCCTATCTGGCGGTATGTCATTGCCTTCTATCTTTGGACCTAGAAGTGAGTTAGTTCAAACCAGGTGGGTATGCAGACCTGTTTGTATCTGGTAGATAAGAAACCCCTGGTTTGTCTGGGAGGTTGAGCAACGGCTTATTGTGGAATCTCTTTGTGCCTGGTGTTCTCCTAGATCCAATTCTGGTACAGCAGTTGCGCCGGACATACAAATATTTCAAAGATTATAGACAGGTGAGCAGAAGCCCTGGGCTCAGTCCCCATGTCTCCAGCCCTGGCCTCCTTGTCTGAGCGCCCCCATCCATCCCTCTCCCACAGATGATCATCGAGCCCACCAGCCCTTGCCTTCTCCCAGACCCTCTGCAGGAGCCGTACTACCAGCCACCCTACACGCTCGTTTTGGAGCTCACTGGCGTCCTCTTGCATCCTGAGTGGTCGGTGTGTCCCGGGAAAGGCAGTGGGTTGGGGATAGACCTGGGCAGCGGGGTTGTGATGAGGTGGACTTTCAGCCCTGTCTGTGCTGTGTGATCTTGGGGAGGAGATGTTACCTGTCATTGCCTCGCTTTCTTCAGCTGGGAGAAGGCAGTCATGCTAACACCCACTCTGTAGGGTGGTGTAGGTGTGCCCAGGCATGCTGTAAGTGCCACAAAGGAGCCAGACCCTTAGTCACACCCATGTTGTACTTCTTAACCTCCAAGAGCCACAAAGACAGAGGGAGAGAACTCTGTTCTGGGAATCCCCCAGGCTGGATCTTTGTCCTCTTGGGGACTCTGAGGGCCTCTGGGTCTTGGTGTTTCACTGTCCTCACTGTCTTCCCAGCTGGCCACTGGCTGGAGGTTTAAGAAGCGCCCAGGCATCGAGACCTTGTTCCAGCAGCTCGCCCCTTTATATGAAATTGTCATCTTTACGTCAGAGACTGGCATGGTGAGGCTCTGGGGCAGGGGAGGGGAAGGTCAGTGTGGCGGGAGGTGTAGAGATCTGGAGGACCAGGGCTCAGCCTGACCTTTTCTCCCTCCCTTCCCACCCGCAGACTGCATTTCCACTCATCGATAGCGTGGACCCCCACGGTTTCATCTCCTACCGCCTATTCCGGGACGCCACAAGATACATGGATGGACACCATGTTAAGGTGCCATGGGTTCGTGGATGGGCCTCTGGGATTTGGTGGGGTTGGCACCACCTGAGGGAAGGAGGGCCTAGCTCTGACCCTAGCTTCACCTGGCTTATGGTTCTGCCCAGATTCTATTCCTGCTGGCAGGCACACGCCTGCCTCCAGCCTTGGCCAGACATCTGCACCCTTCTTTGTTCCCTGGAATCTGGGTGTGGGAGTGGGGGGAAATGAAGTCTCTCTAAAGAAGACAGGGGTTAGTGGTAAGAACGTACCATTTAGGAGCTGGTTTTATCTTGCTGTGCCTATAACTTAGTGCTTCTGGGAAGGTTTGCTTATAATTGTACATATGAGACTGGTTGCGGTTTGTTTGACCTGGCGTCTGTTACTGTGGCCAGTGATATATTCAGGAGTCTGGATCTGTGAATGGGCCTCTGTGGATCTGGCTCCAAGTGTCTGTGTGTCTGTTGGGTTTCTGTTTCTGTCTGTGTCCTGGGGAGGGGGGTCTGTGTTCTTGGGAATTCAGAAATACATGGACTGTGATCGAGGGTCTTGAAGGGTCTGTGTCTGGGAGCCTGTCTTTGTGGTTCCCTGGGTATGGCTGCAGATCTGTCTATACCTGTTTACTTGAGTGAGAGGTTCTTAAACCTGCAACATACCACAGTCACCTGGGCAGGGGTTTAACACGAGAGTAGCCGCCTCCCTCTCCAGGGAACTTCCTAATCGCCTCTCTGTGCTAGGCCCTGGGTCTAGGAGTCTATGTGATTAGCTCCCCAATATCCTGGGGGTTGTTTTGTTTTTTGTTTCTGAGACAGGGTTTTGCTGTGTCACCCAGACTGGAGTGCAGTGGTGTGAACACGGCTCACTGCAGTCTCAACCTTCTGGGCTCAAGTGGTCTTCCCACCTCAGCCTCCTGAGTAGCTGGGCCTATAGGCGCACACCACCACGCTTGGCTAATTTGTGTGTGTGTGCATGTGTGTGTGTGAGATGGAGTCTCCCTCTGTTGCCCAGGCTGGAGTTCAGTGGCGCGATCTTGGCTCACTGCAACCTCTCCCTCCCAGGTTCAAGTGATTCTCCTTCCTCAGCCTCCCGAGTAGCTGGGACTACAGGTGCACACCACCACGCCCGGCTAATTTTTTGTATTTTCAGTAGAGACAGAGTTTCGCCATGTTGCCCAGGCTGATTTTGAACTCCTGAGCTCAGGCAGTCTGCCCACCTTGGCCTCCCAAAATTCTGGGATTACAGGCGTGAGCCACCACACCCCGCCATTTTTTGTATCTAGTAGATATGGGGTTTCACCATTTTGGCCAGGCTGGTCTTGAACTCCTGACCTCAGGTGATCCGTCCGCCTCAGCCTCCCAAAGTACTGGGATTACAGGCATGAGCCACTGCGCCTGGCCCATGCCCACCTAATTTTTAAATTTTTTGTAGAGATGAGATCTCGCTGTGTGGCCCAGGCTGGTCTAGAACTCCTGGGCTAAGTGATCCTCTTGCTTTGGCCTCCCAAAGTGCTGGGATTACAGGTGTGAGCCGCCATGCCTGGTCCTCTGTGGGGGTCGATGCCATCATCCAAAGCTGGTCTTTGAGAGGCCCTGCCATTGTGATCCCAGTATGTGTGATGCTGTGTATGTATGTTTTGTGTGTTTTGGGTCTTCTTGATGGGGGGAGAGTTGGGCACAGATGTTGACCTGATCTGTCACTCACTTCCAGGACATTTCATGTCTGAATCGGGATCCAGCTAGAGTAGTAGTTGTGGACTGCAAGAAGGAAGCCTTCCGCCTACAGCCCTATAACGGCGTCGCCCTGCGGCCCTGGGATGGAAACTCTGATGACCGGGTCTTGTTGGACCTGTCTGCCTTCCTCAAGAGTAAGGCCGACCCCTGATCCCTTGGCCTCTGACCCTAGAGCCCCTGATTCTGAAGAGGAAGGATAAATGCATTATTCGTGGCTGGGCGACTGAGGTGCAGGAGGTACCTGAGCACCTTGGAGTCTTTAGGAGCTTCTTAGGATGTTCATGGAATGTTCAGGGGATACCTGAGGATGTTCAAGGGAACCCTTTCAGAGTGTTTAGAAGCATTCCAGGTAGCACCGACCACCCCCCTGCCCCAGTGTGGGACCTTCCCCTCGTGGGCCCTGCCTGCCTCTGGCCTTCAGAAGCCTGGCTGACCACCCCCTGTTGTGCCCACAGCCATTGCACTGAACGGTGTGGAGGATGTGCGAACCGTGCTGGAGCATTACGCCCTGGAGGATGATCCGCTGGCAGCTTTCAAGCAGCGGCAAAGCCGGCTAGAGCAGGTTGGTGCTCAGATGCCTAGAGTGGAGGATCGGCTCTGAGGCTCCTGAAGGAGGAGCCCAGAGCAGTCCAACTCCACACTCCTGGCTTGGCTGTGTGACCGTGAGCAGATACCTCCTCTCCGCCTCAGTCTCTGTAACCAGGGGGACATAACACAGCCTGTCCTGTAGGGCTGCCAGAATGAGGGGATGCATTGATTCTGCAGCCTGCTCTGAGAACAGGAGACAGGCAAGGCTTTGAGACTGGATTGGAAGAGGAGTTGCCCTTGATGGTCTTGAGTAGGTCTGGGGAGCACCTTGTAGAGGTGGACTGTGGGTTTTAGATCAGGTCTGGAAAGAGGATCCCTGGGCACATGGCCCAAGGCTGTGGGGAGAGTTGTGATGGTCTTGGTGGGACCCTGGTAATTTGGAAGTGGGACTGAGAGTACGGATTGCATCTGGGTAAGATTCCCAGGGGTCTAGGCTGAAGTTCACCAGATTCTAGGTTAGGTTCCTAGAGTTGGGAGTCCCTGAGTGCCCAGAGAAGAAGTCCCTAGAGATTTGGGCCTGGGGACCCCCCAGGGAACTCCCCCTGCCCGCCACATCCAGACAGGAGTCATGGGGTTCAGTGGGCCAGGGGCAGGATGATGCAGTCTGATGAGGAGGGCTCTGGGGTTTGGACTTGGGATCTCACCAGCATTCACCTTGGGGTAACAGGGTCTGGGATAGGATCTCAGGTTCAGGGGAGGGGTCCCTGGGATCTGGGGAAGGGGATTATGAGAGTCTGGGGCCTGAAAGCTACTGCAGTTGAGGCCTGAATATCTCGAGTGCTTAGTATTGGAGTCTGGCATCCCCCAAACATTGAAGCCTAGGCTCCTGCAGCTCAGAGCTGGCTCTTCCCAGTGTCTGGGCTGGGGAGCTGAGGCCTAGGGTCCCTTGTGTCTGGGCTGGGGAGCTGAGGCCTAGGGTCCCTTGTGTCTGGGCTGGGGAGCTGAGGCCTAGGGTCCCTTGTGTCTGGGCTGACTGGGCTGGGGAGCTGAGGCCTAGGGTCCCTTGTGTCTGGGCTGGGGGCCCCAGGGTTTGGGGAAAGGGGTCTGGACTTGGTAGAAGTCAGGAGGAAAGGTGGCCCTGGGCTGAGGCCTGGGGAGCTGGGCGTCTAGGAGGAGGCTCTGTCCTCCCTGGGCTGACCCTCTCCTCCCTCTGTCTCCCGACCCCAGGAGGAGCAGCAGCGCCTGGCTGAGCTCTCCAAGTCCAACAAGCAGAACCTCTTCCTCGGCTCCCTCACCAGCCGCTTGTGGCCTCGCTCCAGGCAGCCCTGAACTCTGGGCCTCCTCAAACTCTTTGCCGGAGTCCAGGGCCCCAGTGCTTCCAGACCAAGACTTGGGCCACCACTGTCCAATAAAGTACATCCCAGATGCCACACCTGCTGTGTCCCGAGAGTCTCCAGATGGGGGCACTGGGATGAGGTCCGGGACTTTCGGGTCACCATCCCACAGTGGCTGATCGGCTGCCAAGCACAGAGTGGGGGCTTTGTTGGATCAGAGCGTATTTTTCACCCTGGTCTGGGAATGTAAAAACTCTCGCTGTGTCTTCCTGTGTGTTGTGTGATCTGTAAAAAATACATCTCCCTCTGACCACAGATTCCCCATGTGTGGAGAAGGGAAGAGAGAATGGCACTTGGCTTTAAAGACAGGTAGCTGCCGTGCTGCTGTGGAAGAACTGTGTTATGGGCCCAGTGGGGCTCTGGTGGACCAGAGATCACCCCTCTCAACAGGCCAACTGCTGCTTGGCTCCAGCCAGTGTGGCCCTGGAGTAGAGGGGGCCTGGAGTTGCTTGACATGCCAGTTGTTGAAAAGAAGTAAGAACTTGGGAATTTTTTTTTTTTTTTTTTTTTGAGACAGGGTCTCACTGTTGCCCAGGCTGGAGTGCAGTGATGTGATCTTAGCTCACTACAGCCTTGACCTCCCGGGCCCAAGTGATCTCCAAGTGACCCTCCTGCCTCAGCCTCCTGAGTACCCTCTTGGAGACTACACGTGTGTGCTGCCACACCCAGCTAACTTAAACAAATTTTTTTTTGTAGAGATGGGGTCTTGCTGCCCAGGCTGGTCTCAAACTCCTAGTCTCAAGCAGTCTTCCTGCTTTGGCCTCCCAAAGTGCTAGGATTACAGATGTGAGCTACCGTGCCCAGCTAAAATTGGAGTTTTTATATTAAATTTCCCTATTTTAAAATGTTGACTCCTAACTAAAACAGACAGATATGTAGCAGTGTTCTCCACTGGAACTTTCTGTGATGCTTGGTTCATGTTCTAGATCTGTATTGTCTAGTACAGTAGCCAGTGACCACATAAAGTTTCCGAGCACTTGAAATGTGGCTAGCGTGACTGAGAAACTGAATTTTTAAATTGTGTTTTAGGCTGAGCGCAGTGGCTCACGCCTGTAATCCCAACACTTTGGGAGGCTGAAGCAGGAGGATTGCTTGAATCCAGGAGTACGAGACCAGCCTGGGCAGCATGGTGAAATCTTGTCTCTAAAAAAATACAAAATAATTAGCCCAGCGAGGTTGTGTGTACCTGTAGTCCCAGTTACGTGAGAGGCTGAGGGGGGAGGAATCCCTTGAGCCCGGGAGGTTATGCGTGGCTGTGATGAGCTGTGATCGTGCCACTACATTCTAGCTTGGGTGACTGAGTGAGACCCTGTCTCAAAAAAAAAAAAAAAGCCTTACAAATTTTTTTGGAGACAGGGCTTCACTCCGTCTCCCAGGCTGGAGTGCAGTGGTGTAGCTGTAGCTCACTGCAGTGTTGAACTCCTGGGCTCAAGCAATCTTCCTGCCTTGGCCTCCCAAATGCTGGGATTGCAGGAGTGAGCCACCGTGACCAGCTACTTTTAATTAAATAGCCACATGTGTCTCCTGTATGGACAGTGGCACTGTGTATTACTTAAGAGTATGAGTTCCAGATTGTGTAAATTCAAATCCAAGCTCTACCACTTCCCGGCTGGCTTGTGATCCTGTGCAAGTTACTTCAGCTCTCAGTGCCTCGGTTTCTACATTTATAGAATAACAGAACAGGCAGAGTGGCTCCTGCCTGTCATCCCAACACTTCAGGAGGCTGAGGTGGGAGGATCACTTGAGGCCAGGAGTTGGAGAGTAGCCTGGGCAACATGGGAAGACCCTGTCTCTTAAAAAAAAAAAAAAAAAGTTATTGTCTCATAGGCTACCTTTGGGGACCAAATGAAGCACTCCCATGTAGGCACTCAGATGGTAGCTATGTAAACTGTAGGCAAGGCACCTCTCCCTCAGTTTCCTCATCTCTAAAATGGGGTGATGGTAGTACGTTAGCAGATGGTTGTGAGGAGTAAACAGCACAGTCCGTACGTGGGTTATATGTATATATTCCCAGGGGCTTGCTGTTACCAGGCCATATGGGTTATTACAGATTGAAATAGCTGGGCGTGGTGGCTGACCCCTATAATCCCAGCACTTTCGGGAGGCCGAGGTGGGTGGATCACCTGAAGTCAGGAGTTTGAGACCAGCCTGGCCAACATGGCGAAACCCCGCCTCTACTAAAAAATACAAAGAAATTAGCTGGGCATAGTGGCGCGTGCCTGTAATTCCAGCTACATGGGAGGCTGAGGCAGGAGAGTCGATTAAACCCGGGAGGCGGAGGTTGCAGTGAGCCAAGATCGCAACACTGCACTCCAGCCCAGGTGACAGAGTGAGACAATCTCAAAAACAAAACAAGCTCTGCTGTCATGAACTGATGTTCAGTGTTCTCATGGAGGAGACAGACAATGATCAGATAACTTCCGGGGTAATAAATGCATAAAGAAAAAGTATAGCAAGGAGCCACAGTAGTCTGGGAACTTGGAGGACTGGTTTAGACCGGATGGGATGGACGGGAGACCTCTTGGGAAGGCACATCTGAGCAGAGATGGGACGAAGTGAGCAGGGAAGCCCTGGGATAGCTGGGTGTGTCTGAGGCACACTCGGGGCCTCCACAACTGCTGTTCGCTGTGCCAGAAGTGTTTTTCCCTAAAGTCTACACGACTTATTCTTTTAGGCTTTTGCCTAAATGTGACCTTGGCATGGCCTTTTTTGTTTTGTTTTTTTCTTTTTTTGAGACAGTCTTGCTCTGTTGCTCAGGCTGGAGTGCAGTGGTGTGATCTTGGCTTACTGCAACCTCCACCTCCTGGGTTCAAGTGATTCTTCTGCCTCAGCTTCCCCAGTAGCTGGGACTACAGGTGCCCGCCACCATGCCCAGCTAATTTTTGTATTTTTAGTAGTGATGGGGTTTCAGCATGTTGGCCAGGCTGGTCTCGAACTCCTGACCTCAAGTGATCTGCCTGCCTTGGCCTCCCAAAGTACTGGGATTACAGGAGCCTGGCCAGCATGGCCTTCTATGGTCACTACGGTCAGCATATAAAGAAAAGTCATGAGTAGCCAGAAAGATGCTCAGAAATCCTTTAAAGTACATGACGCTACACACACACACACCCCACACCACACACCACAAAAGAATCCACATGAAATGCCATCGTGCCTGCCACAAATCTTCACAAAGGCTGGCAATTTTTTTTTTTTTTTTTTTTTGAGACGGAGCCTCGCTGTGTCTCCCAGGCTGGAGTGCAGTGGTGCGATCTCGGCTCACTGCAAGCTCCGCCTCCCGGGTTCACGCCATTCTCCTGCCTCAGCCTCCTAGTAGCTGGGACTACAGGCGCCCGCCACCACACCCGGCTAGTTTTTTGTATTTTTAGTAGAGACGGGGTTTCACCATGTTAGCCAGGATGGTCTCGATCTCCTGACCTCGTGATCCACCTGCCTCGGCCTCCCAAAGTGCTGGGATTACAGGCTTGAGCCACTGCGCCCGGCAAAGGCTGGCAATTTTTATGATCTTTAAAATTTTCGGGCCAGGCTCAGTGGCTCACACCTGAAATTCCAACACTTTAGGAGGCTGAGATAGGAGCATCACTTGAGGCCAGGAGTTTGAGACCAACCTAGGTAACATAGTGAGACCCTCTCTGGGGGTGGGGGGGGGGGAAGGCCAGGCGTGGTTGTGGGCGCCCATAATCCCAGCTAAATGGAAGGCTGAGGTATGAGAATTGCTTGAACCCGGGAGGTGGAGGTTGCAGTGAGCCAAGATCAAGCCACTGCACTGCAGCAGCCTGGGTGACAGAGCGAGACTCCATCTCAAAAAACAAAACAAAACAAAAACAAACATTCTGAGATATCTCAGACATGGAATCTGTTCCCCCGATGATCATCCAGGCCAGGAATTTGCTTCCTTCCACAGCTGGTTGCCCAAATTCTGTTAAAATATATTCTGTGATGGGATATCTGTTCCCTCACCTAACCCATTATGAGACTTAATTTGCCTCCAGGTGACTGGTTTACAAGGTCTGGCTTTACTCTTTGGGGCCACATAACCTGTTTGAGCAGCGGGGATGTGGAAGGAGGGTCTCAAATGTCAGCCTGAGAAGCTTACTTATTTAGAAGGCACTGGGGAGCTATAGAAGAATCTAATGCAAGTGAAGGGAATGGTCTGATTTGTGCTTGGATAAACCCCACAGGGGCAGGCATGGTGGCTCATGCCTGTAATCTCAGCACTTTGGAAGGCCAAGGTGGGAGGATTGCTTTTGCTCGGGAGTTGAGCCTGGGCAACAAAGGGAGACCCCATCTCTACCAAAAATAATAAGCCAGGTGTGGGGGCTCATGCCTGTAATCCTAGCTACTTGGGAGGCTGAGGTGGAAGGATCATTTAAGCCCAGGAAGTCAAGGCTGCAGTAAGCTAGGATAATGCCTCTGCAGTGCAGCCTAGGCAACAGAGACCTCATCTCAAAAAAATAAAGACCTCATAGGCCAGAGTGGTCACGGCTGAGGGAGGCACAGACAGAGGGGTCGGTGGAATAAAAGAATCACAGGGGGATGTGGGAACTCAGGAGGTGCTTGATGCTTCTGGGGAGTGTTAGGGAGCGCTGCCTGGAGGAGGTGAAGTCTGAATGGTGAAAAAGGAATTAAAGAAGGGAGTAGAGCCGGGCACAGTGGCTCACGCCTGTAATCCCAGCACTTTGGGAGGCTGAGGTAGGCAGATCACGAGGTCAGGAGTTGGAGACCAGCCTGGCCAAGATGGTGAAACCCCGTCCCTACTAAAAATACAAAAATTAGCCAGGTGTGGTAGCACATACCTGTAATCCCAGCTACTCGGGAGGCTGAGGCAGGAGAATGGCTTGAAACTGGAAGGTGGAGGTTGCAGTGAGCAGAGCCACTGCACTCCAGCCTGGGCGAAAGAATAAAACTCCATCTCAAAAAATAATAGTACATTAAAAAAAAAAGGGGGGGGGGTGGAAAAGACTCCCTAGGGGAAAGGAACCTGGGATGTTCTGCCCAATCTGACCCATGGCCCTGCCTTGCTCAAATGCCAGTGTTGTCAGAATTAAGAGAAGAATTTTTAGGCTGGTTTTTCCCTTCGCCTTCTCTTTCTTCTTCTTTCCTTCCTCCTTCTTTCCTCCTCCTCCTCCTCCTCTTCTTCCTTCTCCTGCTCCTCCTCCCCCTCCCCCTCCTCCTCCTCCTCCTCCCCCTCCTCTTCCTTTTGCAGAAAAGTGTGCCTTGCTGTGTTGCCTGGCTGGTCTGAAATTCCTGGCCTTAAGCAGTCCCCTGCCTCAGCCTCCGAAAGTGTGGGGATTATAGGCCTGAGCCGCTGTGCCCAGCCTGGTCTTCTTTCATTCATTAAAAAATGAACTGGGCAGGGATTAGTGGCTCATGCCTGTAATCCCAGCACGTTGGGAGGCTGAGGTGGGTGGATCACCTGAAGGTCAGGAGTTCGAGACCAGCCTGGCCAACATGGTGAAACACCATCTCTACTAAAAATATAAAAAATTAGGCCGGGCGCGGTGGCTCAAGCCTGTAATCCCAGCACTTTGGGAGGCCGAGACGGGCGGATTACGAGGTTAGGAGATCGAGACCATCCTGGCTAACAGGGTGAAACCTGGTCTCTACTAAAAAATACAAAAAATCAGCCGGGCGTGGTGGTGGGCACCTGTAGTCCCAGTCACTTAGGAGGCTGAGGCAGGAGAATGGCGTAAACCCGGGAGGCGGAGCTTGCAGTGAGCTGAGATCCAGCCGCTGCACTCCAGCCCGGGCGACAGAGCGAGACTCCATCTCAAAAAAATAATAATAATAAAATAAAATAAATTAGCTGAGCATGGTGGCGGGTGCCTGTAATCACAGCTACTCTGGAGGCTGAGGCAGCAGAATCGCTTGAACCCGCGAGGTGGAGGTTGCAGTGAGCCAAGATCACACCACTGCACTCCAGCCTGGGCAACAAGCGAAACTTCTCAAAAAAAAAAAAAAAAAAAAAAAACTGAGCGCCTACTGTATGCATGGCTCTGCTGGTCTATCCTTCGTTGGTTACTATGTCTTCTCTGGAAAAAAAACATATACATTGAATCTGTGTTTTTCCCTATAATTATTAGCCTCTAAGCACTAAAGTTTTTTACTTTCGGGGGAAAGACAAAGAAGTTACCCCAGCTCAAGGGTTTTGCCCCATGCCTGGCAGGGAGCAATTATGACCAGAGGGGCTGGGACATCTGCTCCTAATTGGCTTTTCCTGCTGAGGTCCTGGAATACTAAAGGGTTTCTGAAGGGCCCGGGGTGCCCCCGCCTCATTCTTCTGGGGTGGGGGAGCGGGTCCCTGTATGTGAAGACGGAATTTCCTGCCCATTTGCTCCTCACACCTTCCGGAGGCCAAACGGGCAGCCCAGCTGCGGCCCGAAGGGGGAGGGGCTCGGCCGCCCGGCAGATGGCGGCATTTACATACAGCTGGGAGCCCCTTCTGAGGCCGAGCTCCTCGCCCTGGCGTCTGGTGCGTCCGCGATGCGGGGCTTGGGAGGGTGGATTTGTCTTGGGGAGGAGGAACGCACACACGCCCGCACACAGGGGTCCATAAAGAGCCCTGGATCTTCATCGTATCCACACACAGCTACACCTGTGGACCTCCCAAACCCAGTCTCTGTCACACAAACCAACGCACACAGGGATCCACAAAGAACTCCGGATCTTCATCGTATTCACACGTGGCTGCATCCATGGACTTCTCAAACCCAGTCTCATTCACATACAGGCGCCCTCCGCCATTCCCTCCTTGCACAGCCTCTACCACACCCGCACACAGCACAGAGTCACAGGTTTATACGGCTATACAGGATCTTCCATAAACACGCACAGAGAAGTATCTACACAGCCACACAATCTCAAAGCGTCACACAATCACGAAGTCGTGTACACGTCTAGTTTCCCACTCGGGTGTGCGTGCAGAGTCAGAATTGTTTACGGCCTCATGTGTCAATCACACACAACTCCAGGCGTATGCTGAGCCGCACAGTCCCACGTGGACACACAATCACAAAGTCATGTACACCCTCCAGTAGCTCTGGTTCATACCACACATCCAGAATCTTAAAATCATGTACAACCTCACACATAGGCTTAGTCCCCCAACCCCACCCCAGCCACACACAAAGTCCCGGGATCACCCACTCATGACCTCGCCCGTGCCTACGACTACAGATGGAATCTCGCTGATGCTCCTGCACGCTCCCCTTCCCCTGTGACTCCCCCCGCCCTTGGTCCCTTGGGGCCCGGTAGCTGCCTGAAGGGGCGGGGCCATTCCCTCAGATATAAGACTCGGAAGCCAGCAGCTGCGACTCCCGAGACCCCCCCTAGAAGGCCATGGTCTCCCCAAGGATGTCTCGGCTCCTCTCCCAGACTGTGATCTTAGCGCTCATTTTCCTCCCTCAGGTCAGAGCCAGGTGGGAGGTGGCGTGGAAAGGGATGAATGCGGGGGAGAGGGGTGAGTGCGATCTGAAGGTCTTGGGGAGGGAGCGCGGGGCGGACGGGACGCCTGGGTCCCCCCGGCCGCCTCACCCTGTGCCCGTCTTCGCCCCAGGCACGGCCCGCTGGCGTCTTCGAGCTGCAGATCCACTCTTTCGGGCCGAGTCCAGGCCTGGGGGCCCCGCGGTCCCCCTGCAGCGCCCGAGGCCCCTGCCGCCTCTTCTTCAGAGTCTGCCTGAAGCCTGGGCTCTCGGAGCAGGCCGCCGAGTCCCCGTGCGCCCTGGGCGCGGCGCTGAGTGCGCGCGGACCCGTCTACACCGAGCAGCCCGAAGCGCCCGCGCCTGATCTCCCACTGCCCAACGGCCTCTTGCAGGTGCCCTTTCGGGACGCCTGGCCTGTAAGTGCTGTCCCCGGGGGACTCCCGGTGCTGGAGGCCTAACCCTGCCACCAAAACCTCCACCTCTTCTCCCCTCCAACTTATAGGTCTTATTAGACCCTAATCCTGCCTCCCAGGGGGTGGACCAAATTCCCAGACCAGTAACTCCACCTTCTGGAACCCCACATTCCCAGACCTCTAAACTCTACACACCGGGGATTCTAAATGTTCTGATTCCCCAACCCTGGATGCTGGGACCCCCAAATTCCCAGAATCTCAAACCCAACCTCTGAAATCCTAAACTCAAGGAACCCTACCTCTGCTCCTTGGGGATCCCTAAAAACTGGGGTCCTCATCTTTCTCCGCAAATCTCTCACACCTTGTCTTGGGAACCACTAATATCTTCTCTTTTTTTTTTTTTTTTTTTTCTGTCCTCAGTTATTTCAATTGGGTCCTGTATTAATTATTCTTTCACCTCCAAAATCCTATCTCCCATCCCCACAACCCAAAGACACAAAGATGGACAGACCTGTATTGCAATTCTAAACCCTTGTCCTTTTGGACAAGTGACTGCCTGGTTTCCAGGTTCAGTTTCCTATGCTTAAAAATGGGATCATCCTGGTATCTCACAAGGGTCCCTTTTGAGTGATTCAACCACATCTCTTGAATAAAGTGCTTACCACGTAGTAAGTGCTCAATAAAGCAAGCCACGCGTCCAGTAGGCTCACCCTGTAATTCCAGCACTTTGGGAGGCTTAGGCGGGAGGATCGCTTGAGCCTAGCAGTTTGAGACCAGTCTCAGTAACATAGTGAGACCTTATTTCTAAAACAAAACAAAACAAAACAAAACAAATAGCGGGGCATGGTGACATGCGCGTGTAGTCCCAGCTACTGGGGAGGCTGAGGTGGGAGGATTGCTTGAGCCTTGGAGGTTGTTGCAGTGAGCCAAGATTGTGCCACTGCACTCCAGCCTGGTTGACAGAGTGAGACCCTGTCTCCCCCCCGGACCCCCCCCAAAAAAAGTCACAGATGTCATTCCTTCCCTGGGCTGGGCTGGTCCCTCTGGGAATTGTCCCTTGCTTGCTCAGTCCCCAGCAATGGCCATCACCCTCTATTCCTGAACTCTGGCCTTCATTGAGTACTTACCCTAACCACTGTCTTTCATCTTTGATCTCCCCCTTCCTTCACCCAACCAGGGCACCTTCTCTCTCATCGTTGAAACCTGGAGAGAGGAGTTAGGAGACCAGATTGGAGGTGAGTGTCTTCAGTCTTGGGACTGGTGGGGAAGCTGGGGCCCACGTGAGACATCGGGTTGGTGGTATTGTCTATAGGTCTTATGATGTCATCACAGCTCCTGGGATGTGGTGCCAGGTGTTGACAGCTCCAGGCCTCTTGGCATCTCAGGCACAGAAATGTCCCTGGTACTGGATGTAGCAGTCTGTGGTCCTGGTAGCAGATGAAGTAGGGGAAGCTCTCTTACTATCAACACCTCCAGGGCAGGGCATAGCATTTCACAGCCCTACTTTATCACCATCTGATATTGAGAGCTCAGGGTGCAATATGAGTTACTTCTGGTTCTTCTATGTGAAGTTTTTTTGTTTTTTTTGTTTTGTTTTGTTTTGTTTTGTTTTTTCAAGACAGAGTTTCGCTCTGTTGCCCAGGCTGGAGTGCAATGGCATGATCTCACTCACTGCAACCTCTGCCTTCCGGGTTCAAGCAATTCTCCTGCCTCACCCTCCCAAGTAGCTGGGATTACAGGGGCCCACAACCACGCCCAGCTACTTTTTTTGTATTTTTAGTAGAAACAGGATTTCACCATGTTGGCCAGGCTGGTCTCGAACTCCTGACCTTGTGATTCGCCCACCTCGGCCTCCCAAAGTGTTGAGATTATAGGCGTGAGCCACCACGCTCAGCCCCTACGTGAAGCTCTATCACCTTCTCCATGTGGAGGTCCCAGGGAGCCCTGTGGGATGTCGGAGCTTCACCAAAGAGAATATTGAGCAGAGGTTCCTGGGAGGGATACAGGGCATTCTTTTTTTTTTTTTTTTTTGAGACGGAGTTTTGCTGTGTCGCCCAGGCTGGAGTGCAGTGGCCGGATCTCAGCTCACTGCAAGCTCCGCCTCCCAGGTTTACGCCATTCTCCTGCCTCAGCCTCCCCAGTAGCTGGGACTACAGGCACCTACCACCTTGTCCGGCTAGTTTTTTGTATTTTTTTAGTAGAGACAGGGTTTCACCGTATTGGCCAGGATGGTCTCGATCTCCTGACCTCGTGATCCGCCCGTCTCGGCTTCCCAAAGTGCTGGGATTACAGGCTTGAGCCGCCGCGCCTGGCCGTTACAGGGCATTCTTATCCTCAACTTGGGAGACTCTGTTGCTATGTGAGGCCCACAGCGGGGGGGTTTGTCACCATTTTTTTTCTTGTTCTTATTTTATTTTTTATGGAGATGGGATCTCGCTATGTTGCCCAGGCCGGTCTCTAACTCCTAGGCTCAAGCGATCCATTGACTTTGGCCTCCCAAAACGTTGGGATTATAGGAGTGAGCCACTTCTTCACTGTTCTGATGTAGAAAGCTGTATCACAATTTTGGGGGGGTGACACCTTTGCCTTCAAGAAAGTGTCACTCTCCCAGTATCCCAAGGTCTCAGGTAATGTGGTAATTTACGGTCTAGTAATTGGGGTCTCTGCCACTCTTTTGATATAGGAAGATCTGGAGGCACAATTTAGGGGTGTTATGACCTCACTTCAGACATGTTATTGTTCTTTGGCCATATCGAGGTACCAAATGTCACAGGGTGTTAGAGGTCTCATTATTACTTCAGTTTACAAAGATCTGGGTCAAAATACGGGAGTATTATGGTTTCTATGCGATAACTGTTTATTTTTTATTTTATTTTTTTTGAGAGGGAGTCTTGCTCTGTCACTCAGGTTGGAGTGCGATGGCGCTATCTCGGTTCACCGTAACCTCCACTCCTGGGTGCAAGTGATTCTCCTGCCTTAGCCTCCAGAGTAGCTGGGATTACAGGCGTGCACCACCACGCCTGGCTATTTTTTTTTTTTTTTTTTTTTGAGACAGAGTCTCGCTCTGTCGCCCAGGCTGGAGTGCAGTGGCCGGATCTCAGCTCACTGCAAGCTCCGCCTCCCGGGTTTACGCCATTCTCCTGCCTCAGCCTCCCGAGTAGCTGGGACTACAGGCGCCCACCACCTCGCCCGGCTAGTTTTTTGTATTTTTTAGTAGAGACGGGGTTTCACCGTGTTAGCCAGGATAGTCTCGATCTCCTGACCTCGTGATCCACCCGTCTCGGCCTCCCAAAGAGTAGAGACGGGTTTTAATCGTGTTAGCCAGGATGGTCTCATCTCCCTGACCTCGTGATCCACCCGCGTGGCCTCGGCCTCCCATGCGTAAGGCAAATGGGAGCCTTTGAGCCACCACAATGTGGCCTTTTTTTTTTTTTTTTTTTTTTTTTTTTTTTTTTTTTTTAGTAGAGACAGTTTCACCATGTTGGTCAGGCTGGTCTTGAACTCTTGACCTCAGGTGGTCCACCTGTCTCGGCCTCCCGAAGTGCTGGGATTTCAGGCTTGAGCCACCACACGCCTGGCCGAGAGAACTGTTATCTAGGGTACTAGAAGAGACCACGACATTGCAGGTCCCAGGGTGCACTGGGGAGTTCGCAGCCTTGCTAAAGTAAGGAAAGTGACTGCCATTCTACTCGCGAGGTCCAAGGACCCCAGGGCTCCATGAGGGTGTTTTGGCCTCGCTGGGAGGGGCGGGGAGAAAGCGGCCGGGGCGCTCCGTATGCATCCATGTTCGGCCGGGCCCACCCCAGCACCCCTCCTTTGCCTGTACCCGCAGGGCCCGCCTGGAGCCTGCTGGCGCGCGTGACCAGACGGCGGCGCTTGGCAGCCGGAGGCCCGTGGGCCCGGGACATTCAGCGCGCAGGCGCCTGGGAGCTGCGCTTCTCCTACCGCGCGCGCTGCGAACTGCCTGCAGTCGGGACCGCGTGCACGCGCCTCTGCCGTCCGCGCAGCGCCCCCTCGCGGTGCGGCCCGGGACTGCGCCCCTGCGCACCGCTCGAGGACGAGTGTGAGGCGCCGCGTGAGTCCTGCGTTCAACCCCACCCCGTACCAGCCAGGGACCCCGGCCCCTCTTGAGCGTCACTCGCGGCCCCCAGTCCCCTCTCACAACCCACTCACCCTCTTCAGGGTACTCTAGAGTCCCCCACCATGTACCCCAGGCACCCCTCTTCAGGGAGCTGGGGAATGTGGTGAGTGCTGTGGATGTACCCCAAACCCCGCCCACCATCCAGCTGCCACCTTCGGGGAAACCGAGGACCCTGGACCTCTCTCCAGCCCTGCCTTACTACTCGAGCCCTCTTCCATCTCCCAGCCCTCTTGTTGCCCCAAATAGGAAGTCCACGTCCATTTCCTATGCTGGCACCCTCCGGTTCCTTCCCTTACCCACATTCACACCTTGTCCCGATGCTAGGACTCCAAAGCTCTTCTAATTCTGCGGCCCTCCTGACCCCCACCCGCAATCTTTGGAATCTCCTCCCAGTCTACTCTGGCCAAGGGACTCTCCATCCTCCCTCCCTAGGGTTGCAGGCCAGAACCCATGGCTTCTTAAAGCTTGGAATTCTTCAGACCCCTCCTCAAATTTCAGAGCCCCACCAAGGCCCCTGGGACTCCCAGGCTAATCCAGATCTTCCCAGAGCCACCCTAATTCGAGACACTCCCATCTTCCCTGAAAGGCCAGGGGTCCCCCCACCAATCCCAAATCCCCTGCCTGTCTCCTACCCTCACGATCTGACGTGGGTGCCCCCGTCCCATCCTCCTTCCAAGAGCACAGACTCCAGCCCGATGGCCTGGGTTCACATCCTCACTCCTCCATTTCCTGGGTGGGCTGGTCAGTTTGTCTCTGTGAGCCTCAGTTTCCCTATCTGTAAACTGGGGGGGAGGGGTCACAGTACCATCTAGTCCCGATGATTATCTGTCACAAGGATGAAGCAAGGTGGTGCAGGGAATGTGCTCAGAAACCTCCCTGAGTTCCATCTTGCCCCTGGCCCTCCCCGACCTTGGTGTTCCCTTTCTCTCTACCTCTCTGTCCCCCATAGCGGTGTGCCGAGCAGGCTGCAGCCTCGAGCATGGCTTCTGTGAGCAGCCCGGTGAATGCCAATGCCTGGAGGGCTGGACTGGACCCCTCTGCACGGTCCCTGTCTCCACCAGCAGCTGCCTCGGCCTCAGGGGCCCGTCCTCTGCTACCACCGGATGCCTTGTCCCTGGACCTGGGCCCTGTGACGGGAACCCGTGTGCCAATGGGGGCAGCTGTAGTGTCAGTGTCACCCTTCCCACCTTGTCCTGCTTAGTACTTTACCCTGGGAGCCACGGCCCCCTCCCTGGGGCTCCAGGAGACACCAGCTTGGGGAGGAGGTCTGGGAATAACTATCAGGGAGGTCTTCCTGGAGGCATCCAGTCTGCATCTGGGGCCTTGAAGTAGGATTGGGTGATGGGGATGTGACTGGGGAGAGCATACTCAGTGGGTGGCCCTGAAAGATGTGGGAGTGGAAATCATGAGGAGCCGTGTGGCGCCACAGCTGCTGCCATTGTGGGAGTGAGAATGGTTCAGGGTTCAAGGTAGTGAGTGGGTGGTGGGGCCAAATCGGTTGGAGATTTGGGATCTGCGGGCACAGGGGGGTGGAGACATCAGAGAAGGCTTCCTGGAGATGGCCCGGAGCTGGGGCTTCTTTTTTTTTTTTTTTTTTTTTTTTTTTTGAGACGGAGTCTCGCTCTGTAGCCCTGGCTGGAGTGCAGTGGCCGGATCTCAGCTCACTGCAAGCTCCGCCTCCCGGGTTCACGCCATTCTCCGGCCTCAGCCTCCCGAGTAGCTGGGCCTACAGGCGCCCGCCACCTCGCCCGGCTAGTTTTTTGTATTTCTTAGTAGAGACGGGGTTTCACCGTGTTAGCCAGGATGGTCTCAATCTCCTGACCTCATGATCCTCCCGTCTCGGCCTCCCAAAGTGCTGGGATTACAGGCTTGAGCCACAGCGCCCGGCCCCCGCTGGGGCTTCTGGGACATGATTAGAGAGGGTGGCCAGGTGAGTGGCCTGCACGGAGCAAGGGTGCAGAGGTGGCAGTGAGTGAGCCTGGCATGGAGTGCTGAGGTAGAGTAGGGTCCAGTGTGGGCCACCTGGATACTGCCACACTCAGGGTTCAAATACTTAGGGGGAGGCTCTGGGAAGGAAAGATCCAGAGAACGCTTCCTGGAGGAGGTGGGCTGAGATCTAGGACCTCCCAGTAGGACTCGTCAATGTAGACAGGAGCGAGGAGGGCAGACCAGGCAGGCAGCATTTGGTAGGCAAAGGTGTAGTGGTGGGAATGGGGTCACTCTGGGTCCCCAGAGCCTCCTACCTGTGGGGTCACATGGGCGGACCCAAAAATGTGGAGGGGATCGAGGGGATGTCGGGAGGACCTCCCAGGGTGGCCCCTGCACAGTGGGACTTGGGACTGGACAAGGAGCAGTCCCCAGTGGTTAGGAATGAGGAGGGGGATGGGATTTTTCTCCAAGGAAACTCCATTCTCAAGTCCTCTTGTCCCTGCCCAGGAGACACCCGGGTCCTTTGAATGCACCTGCCCGCGTGGGTTCTACGGGCTCCGCTGTGAGGTGAGCGGGGTGACATGCGCGGATGGACCTTGCTTCAATGGCGGCTTGTGTGTTGGGGGTGCAGACCCTGACTCTGCCTACATCTGCCACTGCCCACCCGGTTTCCAAGGTTCCAACTGTGAGAAGAGGGTGGACCGGTGCAGCCTGCAGCCATGCCGCAATGGTGAGGCCTGAAGGCCCTATTGGCAAGGGATGGGGGTGGGGGCCCTGCATGGCTCAGACAGTCCTGGGTTGGGATCCTGGCTTTGACTCTTCTAACCCTAGGGCCAGGGGACCTGACTTCCCACCAGCAAGCCTGTTTGTTCTGTAAAATGGGCAAGGAGACATTCCCTATCTCATAACTGTTAATATTTACTGAGAATTTACTGTGTGCCAGGCCCTATTCCAGGCACTGAGGATACAGCAGGGAATGAAACAAAGTCCCTGCCCCTCCTGATAGTGCCTGGTGTGCTGAGGATAAGCAGGGAAGCCAGTGTGGTTACACTGATGAGACGAGATCAGGGAGGTGACTGAGGCACATCTTGTGGGACCCCCTGGGTCACAAGAAGGGGAACTTTCACTTTTCCCCTGAGTGAGATGGAGCCACAGGAAGGTTCTGAACAGAGAAGAGAGCTGATATCGGTGCTAAAAGATTAAATGAGGCTGGGCACAGTGACTCACGCCTATAATTCCAGCACTTTGGGAGGCCCAGGTGGGCGAATCACCTGAGTTCAGGAGCTGGAGACCAGCCTGGGCCACATGGTGAAACCGCGTCTCTACTAAAAATACAAAAAATTAGCCAGGCGTGATGGCAGGTGCTTGTAATTCCAGCAACTCGGAAGGCTAAGGCAGAAGAACCACTTGAACTCGGGAGGTGGAGGTTGCAGTCAGCCAAGATTGTGCCACTGCACTCCCGCCTGGGCGACAGAGTGAGATTCTGTCTCAAAAAAAAGAAAAAAAAAAAAAAAGATTAAATAAGATCATGAATGTAGGCTGAAACAGAGAATTGCTTGAACTAGGGAGGCTCCAGCCTGGAGGACAGAACGAGACTCCATTTCAAAAAAAAAAAAAAAAAATCATGAATGTAAAGGGCTGGCTGTTATCTTCTTGCGAGTGAATACGGTAATTCTGTCCCAAACAGAGTGTTCATTCTGGGGTGCGTGGTACTAGGGACACAGCAGGGACCAGGACATGTTTGGGCCACGCCCTCCTGGAGGTACCAGCCCAGAGGGGAAGACAGACACCCTCAGACAGAGCCCAGGGTGGGTGGCCAGGGCTGTGATCTGGGAGCACAGGGCAGTGATCAGGGCTGGGATGGAGGAAGAAGCATCGGAGTAGAGACCTGAGGAGTGGGCTAGGGAAGAGAAAAGGGGGGAAAATGGGAGAAAAGGAGGAAGGGAAGAGAGGAGGTCTTCTAGGCAGAAGAAGGTCAGAGGGTTCAAACACATAGTTCTGGGTATTGAAGTATGATCGAAGTCGAGGGAAAAAGAGGCAAGGGCACCGAGAGCCAAAGAGGTGGCACTGAATTAATTATTCCAAAACTTCATCAGGTAGAAAAGAAGCGAGCTGGCTTTCCTGGCACACTCCAAGACGCTGGCCCTTGAGTTAAGAGATAGAGAGAAAACGGGGACCCCGTGCAGCGATGATAGAACTGGGAAACAGCGCGGGCAGGTGGGCCCCGCCCCCGGCTCCCAAGCTGTGCCCTCTGATGCTCCCTTCCCCACAGGCGGACTCTGCCTGGACCTGGGCCACGCCCTGCGCTGCCGCTGCCGTGCTGGCTTCGCGGGTCCGCGCTGCGAGCACGACCTCGACGACTGCGCGGGCCGCGCCTGCGCTAACGGCGGCACGTGTGTGGAGGGCGGCGGCGCGCACCGCTGCTCCTGCGCGCTGGGCTTCGGCGGCCGCGACTGCCGCGAGCGCGCGGACCCGTGCGCCGCGCGCCCCTGTGCTCACGGCGGCCGCTGCTACGCCCACTTCTCCGGCCTCGTCTGCGCCTGCGCGCCCGGCTACATGGGTGCGCGGTGTGAGTTCCCAGTGCACCCCGACGGCGTAAGCGCTTTGCCCGCGGCCCCGCCCGGCCTGAGGCCCGGGGACCCGCAGCGCTACCTTTTGCCGCCGGCTCTGGGACTGCTGGTGGCCGCGGGCGTGGCTGGCGCTGCGCTCTTGCTGGTCCACTTGCGCCGCCGTGGCCACGCCCAGGATGCTGGATCTCGCTTGCTGGCTGGGACCCCGGAGCCGTCAGTCCATGCACTCCCGGATGCACTCAACAACCTAAGGACGCAGGAGGGTCCCGGGGATGTCCAGAGGTGAGGGGCTGCGCCGCAGACGAACGCCTCGCGCTGCTGGCTGCTTGTACCCATCTCCGTGGTGCAGTTGGCGCGATTCCCTGATGCATTTCCCTGGTCCGTCTCTTACCCGGTAGCTGGCTTTGGGTTCCCGTTTGTGATGGGTAGGGGAAAACAAGATCTGAGAATTTAAAGGGTCTGAATTTTTCTTCTTTCTTTCCTCCCACAGCTCGTCCGTAGATTGGAATCGCCCTGAAGATGTAGACTCTCGAGGGATTTATGTCATATCTGCTCCTTCCATCTACGCTCGGGAGGTAGCGACGCTCCTTTCCCACCCCCGCTACACACTGGGCAGAGGCAGAACCTGCTTTTTCCCTACCCTTCCTCGATTCTGTCTTTGAAATGAATTGGGTAGTGTCTCTGGAAGGTTTTAAGCCCATTTTCAGTTCTAACTTAGTTTCTTCCTATTTTGCATCCCTCTTGTCGTTTTGAGCTACCTGCCATCTTCTCTTTGAAAAAGCTATGGGCTTGAAGAGGTCACTATGGGGACTCCGCCAGAGCTTTTCCACTGATGCTACTCTGCGGGGAGGCAGGGGAGGCAGAGGGGCAGCCTCTCTAATGCTTCCTACTCATTTTGTTTCTAGGCCTGACGCGTCTCCTCCATCCGCACCTGGAGTCAGAGCGTGGATTTTTGTATTTGCTTGGTGGTGCCCAGTCTCTGCCCCAGAGGCTTTGGAGTTCAATCTCGAAGGGGTGTCTTGGAGAACTTTACTGCTGCAAGTTGTAAATAATGGTTATTTATATCCTATTTTTTCTCACCCATCTCTCCAGAAACACCTATAAAGGCTATTATTGTGATCAGTTTTGACTAACGAGGCTGAATGCTTTGTATGTAGTGTTAGGGCTGAAGGGAAGAGATTTTGTCTCCTGAGGAGAATAGCAGACAGGACTCTATGTTGTAGGGGTCGCAAACGACTCAAACTGCTTTAAATATAAAAGAATTTATGGCTGGGTGCAGTGGCTCAGGCCTGTAATCCCACTGAACCACAGAGTGAGATCAGTGGCTGAAGCGGAAGGATTGCTTGAGGCTGGGAGTTGGAGAGCAGCCAGGCAACACAGCAAGACCCCTATACAAAAAATTAAAACAAAATTAGCCAGGCTTGGTGGCGCACCTGTAGTTCTACCTACTTGTGAAGCTGAGGCCGGGAGGATCGCCTCAGCTCAGGAGTTTGAGGCTGCAGTGAGCTATGATACCACCACTGCACTAAAGCCTGGGCACTACAGCAAGATTCTGTCGCTTTAAAAAAAAATGTATTAGTGGCCAGGAGTGGTGGCTCACGCCTGTAATCCCAGCACAGGATTACAAAGGGAAGCCGAGGTGGGTGGATCACCTGAGGTCGGGAGTTCGAGACCAGCCTAGCCAGCATGGCAAAACCTCGTCTCTACTGAAAAATACAAAAATTAGCTGGGTGCGGTGGCAGGCACCTGTAATCTCAGCTACTCGGGAGGCTAAGGCCGGAGAATTGCTTGAACTTGGGAAGCGGAGGTTGCAGTGAGCCGAGATTGTGCCACTGCACTCTAGCCTTGGAAACAGAACAAGACTCTGTCTAAAAAAACAAAAACAAAAACATGTATTAGCTCATAAAATGGAAAAATCCTAGGAGTAGATGTGGCTTCCAGCAGCAACGGACTGGGGCTCCTGGTCTTTCTCTGGTTGCCTCTACTTACCCGTTGATTGATTTCACTGTGGGCAGTCTCTCATTGGCCCTGGCTTGTTGGTAAGCCTTCCTAAACCAGTCGCCAGGCAGTATGGCTTCCTCTGATTTGGCCAGGCTTGCTCATTTGCCTGTGGTGTGGTAGGAAGTGACGTCAACCTGCCCAGATCACATGGATTATATAGGTAAGGGGGTGTCCCTGCTCCCCTCAGATGAGTTTGTTCCCAGAAATGAGTACTGTGTCAGGCAGGCAAACTGACAGACGATCTTACAAGAAATACGAAAACTCCTTAGTCTGAAAGCAGGTAACCTCAGACAGTAATTCAAATCTACGGCAAAAACCAAAGAGTAGGCTGGGCGTGGTGGCTCATGCCTGTAATTCCAGCACTTTGGGAAGCTGAGGCGGGTGGATCACCTGAAGTCAGGAGTTTGAGACCAGCCTGGCCACATGATGAAACCCTGTCTCTATCAAAAATACAAAAATTAGCCAGGCATGGTGGTGGGTACCTGTAATCCCAGCTACTTGGGAGACTGAAGCAGGAGAATCAATTGAACCTGGGAGGTGGAGGTTGCAGTGAGCTGAGATCACTCCACTGCACTCCAGCCTGGGTGACAGAGTGAAATTCTGTCACCAAAAAAAAAAAAAAAAAAAAAGCAGCAGTGACAGTAATCATGTAATTATAAGGATTATGGTGGGCTGGGAGCAGTGGCTCACGCCTGTAATCCCAGCACTTTGGGAGGCTGAGGCGGGCAAATCACCTGAGGTCAGTAGTTTGAGACCAGCCTGGCCAACAGGGTGAAACCCCATCTCTACTTAAAGTACAAAATATTAGCCGGGCGTGGTGGTATGCACCCGTAATCTCAGCTACTCAGGAGGCTGAGGCAAGAGAATCGCTTGAACCTGGGAGGCGGAGGTTGCAGTGAGCCGAGATCGCGCCATTGCACTCCAGCCTGGGGGACAACAGCGAGACTTCATCTCAAAAAAAAAACAAAAAACAAAAAACAAAAAAAATTATGGTAGTCCTCCCTTATCCTTGAAGCATATGTTCCAAGACCCACAGTGGATGCCTGAAGCTCCTGATAGTACTGAATGCAATCTGAACACATTTCTGTTTATGTCTTCCACCTACAAACTGAATGCCTTTCCCATCTTGACTGAGCATTTATCACACCCTGTGGCCTTGGAAACTTTGGCAGTTTGAGGTATGACAGTGAAACTAGCATGAATTTCCTTCTCTTTCTTCACAGTTTCATGGCTAAAATATTCATCTTTTTTTTTTTTTTTTTTTTTTTTTTGAGACAGAGTTTCACTCTTGTTGCCCAGGCTGGAGTGCAGTGGTATAATATCTCGGCTCACTGAAATCTCCATCTCCTGGGTTCAAGCAATTCTCCTATCCCAGCCTCCCAAGTAGCTGGGATTACAGGCATGCACCACCACACCCAGCTAATTTTGTATTTTTAGTAGAGATGGGATTTCTCCGTGTTGGTCAGCCTGGTCTCAAACTCCTGACCTCAGGTGATCCGCCTGCCTCGGCCTCCCAAAGTGCTGGGATTACAGGCGTGAGCCACCGAGCCCAGCCTAGAAGATTAATCTTAAGGCCAGGCATGGTGGCTCACGCCTGTAATCCCAGAATTTTGGGAAGTTGAGGCAGGAAACTCGCTTGAGCCCAGGAATTCAAGACCAGCATAGGCAACATGGCAATACCCTGTCTCTACAAAAAAAAAAAATTGAAAAAATCAGCCAAGCATGGTGTCATTCGCCTGTAGTCCCGGCTACTTGGGAGGCTGAGCTGGCAGGATTGCTTGAGCCTAGGTGGTTGAGGCTGCAGTGAGCTGTGGTGGTGCCAATGCACTCCACCCTGGGTGGCAGAGTGAGACTCTGTCTCAAAAAATAAAGGAAAAAAAAAAGGGGTGGGCACAGTGGCTCATGCCTATAATCCCAGCACTTTTGGAGGCCAAGGTGTGTGGATCACCTGAGGTCAGGAATTTGAGATCAGCCTGACCAATATGGTGAAACTCTGTCTCTACTAAAAATACAAAAATTAGCTGGGCATGGTGGCAGGCACCTGTAGTCCCAGTTACTTGGGAAACTGAGACAGGAGAATCGCTTGAACCCGGGAGGCGGAGGTTGCAGTGAGCCAAGATCATGTCATTGCACTCCAGCCTGGGTGACAGAGCGAGACTCCGTCTCAAAAAAAAAAAGGAAATACTTGAGGCTTCTGAAGCTTTGTAATTTATAAAGAAAGAGGTTTATTTTGGCTTATGGCTCTGTAGGCTATACAGGAAGCACAGCACTGGCATCTGCTTCTGCTGAGGCATCAGGAAGCTTCCAATCATGATACAAGGTGAAGGGGAAGCAAGCACATCACATGGCAAGGGAGGAAGTGAGAGAGGGGTGCCAGGCTCTTATTTATTTATTTATTTATTTATTTATTTGATACAGAGTCTCACTCTGTCACTCAGGCTGGAGTGCAGTGGCACGCTCTTGGCTCACTGCAACCTCTGCCTCCCTGATTCAAGCGATTCTCCTGTTTTGGCCCCCCAAGTAGCTGGGACTACAGGTGTACGCCACCATACCAGCTAATTTTTTTTTGTTATTTTTAGTAGAGATGGGGTTTCACCACTTTGGCCAGGCTGGTCTCGAACTCCTGACCTCAAGCAATCTGCCTGCCTTGGCCTTCCGAAGTTCTGGGATTACAGAAGTGAGCCACCACGCCCAGTCTCAGCTCTTCGCTCTGTCACCCAGGCTGGAGTGCAGTGGCCAGATCTCAACTCACTGCAAGCTCCGCCTCCCGGGTTCACGCCATTCTCCTGCCTCAGCCTCCTAAGTGACTGGGACTACAGGCGCCCGCCACCTCGCCCGGCTAGTTTTTTGTATTTTTTAGTAGAGACAGGGTTTCACCCTGTTACCCAGGATGGTCTCGATCTCCTGACCTCGTAATCCACCCGTCTCGGCCTCCCAAAGTGCTGGGATTACAGGCTTGAGCCACCGCGCCCGGCCTCAGGCTCTTTTAAACAACCAGCTCTCAAGGGAACGAGGGAACTCACAGAGCGAGAACTCACTCATTACTGTGGGGAGGGCACCAAGAGCTTCATGAGGGTTTCACTTCCAGACACCTCCCACCAGGCCCACCTCCAACACTGGCGGTCATTTCCACATGAGATTTGGGGGGGAAAAATATCCACACCAAATCAATACCCGTATAAGAAGCCAGAGGCTGGGCATGGTGGCTCATGCCTGTAATCTCAACACTTTGGGAGGCTGAGGCAGGTGGATCACTTGAGGCCAGGAGTTTGAGACCAGCCTGACCAACATGGTGAAAGCAACTCGTCTCTATAAAAATGTACAAAAGTTAGCGAGACATGGTGGCGCTCACCTGTAATCCCAGCTACCTGGGTGGTGGAGACACAAAAATCGCTTGAGCCCAGGAGGCAGAGGTTGCAGTGAGCTGAGATCGTGCCAGTGCACTCCAGCCTGGGCGACAGAGCAAGACTCTGTCTCAAAAATAAAAAATAAAAAAAGAAGAAGGCCGGGCGCGGTGGCTCACAGTGGCTCATACCTGTAATCCCAGCACTTTGGGAGGCCGATGCTGGTGGATCACTTGAGGTCAGGAGTTCAAGGCCAGCCTGGCCAATGTGGTGAAACCCGGTCTCTACAAAAATACAAAAATTAGCCGGGCATGGTGGGAGTGCCTGTAATCCCAGCTACTCAGGAGGCTGAGGTGGGAGAGTTGCTTGAACCTGGGAGGCAGAGGTTGCAGTGAGCTGAGATTGTGCCATTGCACTCCAGCCCAGGCGACAGAGCAAGGCTCCATCTCAAAACAAACAAACAAAAGCCAGAGAGCTAGCTGGCTGTCTTCCTGCCATACGAGGATGCAAGAAGTTGGTGATCTGCAGCTTGCAAGAGGTCCCTCCCTAGAACCCAACCTGCTGGCACCATGACCACTGACTTCCAATCTCCAGACCTATGAGAAATAAATGTTTAAGCCAGATTATGGTATTTTTTTTAATAGCAGCCTGAGCCAACTAAGATAGTTAGGTTTTGCGGCAATAACAAATGTCCTTCAAATCTAACTGACTTACACGATCTCAGGTTTCTTTTTTGTTCATGGCACACATCCAGGCCACTAGGCTTTGCTTTTCGTTTTGTTTAAGAGACATAGTCCTGGCTGGCGCGGTGGCTCACGTCTGTAATCTCAGCACTTTGGGAGGCCGAGGCGGGCGGATCATGAGGTCAGGAGATTGAGACCATCCTGGCTAACATGGTGAAACCCCATCTCTACTAAAAAAAAATACAAAAAAATTATCCGGGCGAGGCGGCGGGCGCCTGTAGTCCCAGCTACTCGGGAGGCTGAGGCAGGAGAATGGCGTGAACCTGGGAGGCGGAACTTGCAGTGAGCCAAGATTGTGCCACTGCACTCTAGCCTGGGTGACAGAGCGAGACTCCATCTCAAAAAAAAAAAAAAAAGAAAAAACAAAACAAAAGCAAAAAAAAGAGAGACGTAGTCATGCTCTTGTTCTGTCACCCAGTCTAGAGTACAGTGGTGTGATCATAGCTCATGGCAGCCTCAATCTCCTGGGCTCAAACGATCCTCCTGCCTCAGCCTCCCGAGTAGCTGGAACTGCAGGTGCATACCACCATAGCTGGCTAAGTTCTAAGTTTTTTGTAGAGAGGGGTTCCCATTATGTTGTCCAGTCTGGTCTTGAACCCCTGGGCTTAAGCAATCCTCTTGCTTTGGTCTCCAGAAGTGCTGTGATTAAAGGTGGGGTTTCATCATGTTGCCCAGGCTGATGTCGAACTCCTGACCTCAGGTGATCCACTGCCTCACTCTCCCAAAGTGTTGGAATTAGTGGCGTGAGCCACCGCTGCCCATCAGGGGCCTTTTTTTTTTTTTTTTTTAAATCAGTATCTAACACTGGAACAGTTTTCTGCTTTGGAAGTAAAACCATCCAGGCTGTTAGACACAGACACCCCTCTCTTGGCTTCCTGCAAATTACTGAAAACAAGTCTCTCCACTCCCACACTCAGCCAACCAACCAAAGACTGGCCAGCTCATGCTGTAGTCCCAGAACTTTGGGAGGCCAAGGTGGGAGGATTTCTTGAGCCCAGGAGGTCTTGCTGCAGCAAGCTGTGATTGCACCACTGTGCTCCAGCCTGGGTTACAGAGTGAGAGCCTGTCCTCCCAAAAAATAAAAAGATTTTTTGAAAAAGTACTTGTCTGGCCGGGCGCGGTGGCTCAAGCCTGTAATCCCAGCACTTTGGGAGGCCGAGACGGGCGGATCACAAGGTCAGGAGATCGAGACCATTCTGGCTAACACAGTGAAACCCCGTCTCTACTAAAAAATACAAAAAAAAACTAGCCGGGCGAGGTGGCGGGCGCCTGTAGTCCCAGCTACTCGGGAGGCTGAGGCAGGAGAATGGCGTAAACCCGGGAGGCGGAGCTTGCAGTGAGCTGAGATCCGGCCACTGCACTCCAGCCTGGGCGACAGCGCGAGACTCCCTCTCAAAAAAAAAAAACACCTCCCAAGCCCACCAGGCACGTGAGCTCCTCTCTGCTGTCTGATGTACAAGTAAAAAAAAAAAAAAAAAAAAAAAAAAAAAAAAAAGTACTTGTCTGATGTACTCGTAAAAAATAAAAGAAGGTCCTTGGTTAATGGCCCTGCCCCTCACTCCAAGGCTGTATTTGCTGTGCTCACTGTCTGGGCTGTAGTTCTGCTGCCTCCAGCTAACTCCTCCTTTACCTGGCTAACTCCTTTGTCTCTTTATTAATGCCACAAACATTTATTGAGCACCTACTGCATGCCAGATCTTGTTCTGGGAGCTGGGAATACAGCAGTAAACAAGATGGACAAGGCCCCATCCTTGAGGAGCTCACAGCTTGACATTCCTTCTCAAAGTGGTTAAGCCCCAGGATGCTGGAGCCTGACAGGTTGAGTTTGAATCCCAGCTCTGCCACTTAACTAGCTGTGGGCGAATGTTTAGCACCTGGCACTGTAATAAATGTAAACGCTCAGCCTGGCGCAGTGGCTCACCCATATAATCCCAGTAGTTTGGGAGGCTGAGGTGTGTGGGTCACTTGAGGCCAGTGGATCACTTGAGGCCAGGAGTTGGAGACCAACCTGGCCAACATAGTGAAACCCCATCTCTACTGGAAATACAAACATTAGCTGGGTGTGATGGCGGGCAGGATGAGGCAGGAGAATCTCTTGAATCCAGAAGACTGAGGTTGCAGTGAACTGAGATCACGCCACTGCACTCCAGCCTGGGCCACAGAGTGAGACTGTCCCCGAGGTGCTCGCCATCATTCTCCAGATGTCAGTTGTCCCCTTTTCTAGGAAGCTGTCTCTGATTGCCGCAGGCTGACTGAACTTATTCCGTGAAGGGGACCAGCCCCTCCACACCTGTGGATATTTCTCATCAGGTGGGACGAGAGACTGAGAAGTAAGACACAGAGACAAAGTATAGAGAAAGAAAAGTGGGCCCAGGGGATCGGCGCACTCAGCATACGAGGACCCGAGCCGGCACCGGTCTCTGAGTTCCCTCAGTATTTTTTGATCATTATCTCTGTCATCTTGGAGATGGGGATGTAGCAGGACAACAGGGTAATAGTGGGGAGAGGGTCAGCAGGAAAACATGTGAACAAAGGTCTCTGTGTCATAAACAAGTTTTTTTTTTTTTTCTTTTTTGAGACGGAGTCTTGCTCTGTCACCCAGGCTGGAGTGCAGTGGCCAGATCTCAGCTCACTGCAAGCTCCGCCTCCCAGGTTTACTCCATTCTCCTGCCTCAGCCTCCCGAGTAGCTGGGACTACAGGCACCCGCCACCTCGCCCGGCTAGTTTTTTGTATTTTTTAGTAGAGACGGTTTCACCAGGTTAGCCAGGATGGTCTCGATCTCCTGACCTCGTGATTTGCCCATCTCGGCCTCCCAAAGTGCTGGGATTACAGGCTTGAGCCACCGTGCCCGGCCAATCATAAATAAGTTTAAGGAAAGGAGCTGTGCTTTGATGTGCACTATACAAACATCTGGGTGCATTAAAGAGCAGTTTTGCCGCTAGCATGTCTCACCTCCAGCCCGTCTCACCTCCAGCCCGAAGGCGATTTTCTCCTATCTCAGTAAATAGAACATACAATTGGGTTTTACACCAAGACATTCTATTCCCAGGGACTAGCAGGAGACAGATGCCTTCCTCTTATCTCAACTGCAAAGAGACAGATGCTTTCCTCTTATCTCAACTGCAAAGAGGCCTTGCTCTTGTACTAATCCTCCTCAGCACAGACCCTTTAAGGGTGGTGTCGGGCGGGCTGGGGGGACAGTCAGGTCTTTCCCTTCCCAGGAGGCCATATCTCAGGCTATCACTTGGGGAGAAACCTTGGACAATACCTGGCTTTCCTAGGCAGAGGTCCCTGAGATTAGAGATTAGAGAATGGTGATGACTTTTACCAAGCATACTGCCTTCAAGCACTTTTTTAACAAAGCACATCCAGCACAGCCCTAAATCCATTAAACCTTGAGTCAACACAGCACATGTCTGTGCAAGCACAGGGTTGGGGCGAGGGTTACAGATTAACAGCATCTCAAGGCAGAAGAATTTCTCTTAGTACAGAACAAAATGGAGTCTCTTATGTCTTTTTCCTACATAGACACTGATCTCTCTTTCTTTTCCCCACATTCTGGGATCTCACAGCTCCTGGGCTCCCTCATCCCAGCCCTGAACACTGGGCTGTGGCTCTTTGGTAATGGGTATGTGTCCCCCACTGGACAGGGAGCCTGGTGAGGGCAGGGACCAGAGCTTTCCTGATCCCTGCTGTGTCCCCATATTCACCCCACAGAGAAGTGTGCATGCAGCAGGCACTCAGTACACATATGCTGAACACCTGAGTGCCACCGACAGCTGCGGGGGCACTGGGGCAATATGTGTTTCTCAGTCTGGCGTCGGGGGTTAAGGGGGCGGGAATTACGCAGCGAGGTCCGGAGGTTGCACGCCCTTCGAAAGCGGTGGAACCCGGGGGCCAGGTGGAACTCGGTGTAACAGAGCCCCTGTGGTCGCGCCCCGTCTCAGAACCCGGTGTGGGAGACGCTCTCCCCGCCCGAAGAGGGAAGGCGGGCGGGACTCCCCCTGGGCTCCATGAATAACCAGGCGCGGACCCCAGCCCCCTCCTCGGCGCGGACCTCAACCTCAGTCCGGGCTTCTACCCCGACCCGGACACCGACTCCACTCCGGACCCCGACTCCAGTCCGGACTCGGACCCCCATCCGGACCCAGACTCCAGTCCTGACTCCGTCTCCGGCCCGGCTTCCCGCTCTGGTCCAGCCTCCCGCTCCAGCCCACATCCCCACTCAGGTCCCGACTCCCGCTCTGGCCCGGATACCCGGTCTGGTTCCGCCGCCTGCTCAGGCCTGGATCCCTACTCCGGTCCCGACTCCTGCTCGCGTCCGGAACCCAACTCCGGTCCGGACTCCGGCTCGGACCCTGACTCCTCCAGTCCGGGTCCCAGCCCCAGCCCCAGCCCCAGACCCCGCCCAGGTCCTGGCGGGGATTCGGACCGCGCTCCCCGCCTTGGACTCCTACACGGCCCGGGCCCTACCTTTGGATCCGCCCCCGGAACCTGCTCCGGAGCCGCCTTTTTCGCCCGAGGAGGACCCTGAGCCGGCGCCGAGCCTGAAGCTCATCCCGTCGGTCTCCAGCGAGGCTGGGCCCGCCCTGGGCCCCTTTCCCGCTCACACTCCTCTGGCCGCGAACTCATCCGGGCCCACCCTGGACTTCACCTTCAGGGCAGACCCGTCGGCCACTGGGCTGGCAGATCCCCACATTCCCAGCCCTGTCCCCGCGCCCATCCTGGGGACCATCCCGTCGACCCTCTCCTTACAGAATTCTACGGAAACCTTGGTCTCCACCAGCGAAAACTTCGCGCTGGACAAGAGGGTCCTGATTCGAGTGACTTACTGGTGAGGACCTCACACACGCCTCTCCCAACCCCCGGGGACAGGGCCGGCGGTGGGGGCTGGGTCTCCGAGGACGTGGAGGTCAGGGTTGGGGTAGGGCGAGGGGGAGGGATTCAGGTAGAGCCCCAGAGTCCCAGTTCCTAGATTGGAAACTCGCTCTTGTCTCTCATTCTTTTTGGGGCGGGAGAACTTCAGGTTCAAATCCCTGCTTTGGATCTGAGCTTCATTCATTCATCCCCGCGGGCCAAGTGCCAGGCCTGTGCTGGGGATGGGGTGCTGAGCAGAACGACCTGCTTTGCTCCCCAGCAAAACCGACACAAAGACACCGCACATGATGGGTGCTCTGGCTTCCCTTCCCAGCCTCTCTCCTGCCCTGGAAGCCTCTCTGGCGCCTTGTCTCTCTCTCTCTCTCTCACTTTCTCCTCTTCTGCCCAGGCAGTCTCTCCCACTCTCTGTCTCCCCACCTCACTCTCTCTCTGTTTTGTTTTTGTTTTTGTTTCAGACAGGGTCTTGCTTTATTGCCCAGGCTGGAGTGCAATTTTGCACTCCCAGCTCACTGCAGCCTCGACCTCTAGGGCTCAAGCGATCCTCCCACCTCAGCTTCCTGAGTAGCTGGAACTACAGGCGTGCACCACCATGCCTGCCTTTTTTTTTTTTTTTTTTTTTTTAGCAAAAGTTTCACTCTTGTTTCCCAGGCTGGAGTGCAATGGCGCGATCTCCGCTCACTGCAACCTCTGCCTCCCGGGTTCAAAGAATTCTCCTGCCTCAGCCTCCGGAATAACTGGGACCACAGGCATGTGCCACCACGCCTGGCTAATTTTGTATTTTTTTTTTTAGTAGAGACGGGGTTTCACCATGTTGGACAGGCTAGTCTCTATCTCCTGACCTTGTGATCCACCTGCCTTGGCCTCCCAAAGTGCTGGGATTACAGGCGTGAGCCACCGCGCCCGGCCCCTAATTTTTAAATTTTTTGTAGAGACATTTGGCTGAGGGAACTGCCAGTGCAAAGACCCTGAGGCAGGGCATACCTGGGGTGTTGAAAGATGAGCTCGGGGCCAGGCCTGTAATCCCAGCACTTTAGGAGGCCGAAGCTGATGGATCACTTGAGGCCAGGAGTTCGAGGCCAGCCTGGGCAACATGGTGAAACCCCATCTCTACAAAAAATTCAAAAATTAGCTGGGTGTGATGGTGCATGCCTGTAATCCCAGCTATTTGGGAAGCTGAGGTGGGAGAATCGCTGGAACCCACGAGGTGGAAGGTTGCAGTGAGTCGAGATCACACCACTGCTCTCCAGCCTGGGCGACAGAGCAAGACTCTGTCTCAAAAAAAAAAAAAAAAAAAAAAAAAAAAATCGGGCACGGTGGCTTATGCCTGTAATCCCAGCACTTTGGGAGGCCAAGGCAGGTGGGTCATGAGGTCAGGAGATCGAAACCATCCTGGCCAACATGGTGAAACCCTGTCTCTATTAAAATACAAAAACTTAGCCAGGCGTGGTGGGGGTCGCCTGTAGTCCCAGCTACTCGGGATGCAGAGGCAGGAGAATGGCGTGAATCCGGGAGGCAGAGTGAGCCGAGATCATGCCACTGCACTCCAGCCTGACAACAGAGCGAGAGTCCGTCTCAAAAAAAAAAAAAAAAAAAAGAGAGAGAAAGAAAGATGAGCTAGGGGCTTCTGTGGCTGATACAGGGTGAATGAGTTGGGGAGAAGTGGGAGAAGATGGGGACAGAGGGGTGAGAAGGCAGATCCTGTGGTGACTTGCAGGCCACAGGACGGACTGGTTTTTCCCCTGCGTGAGATGGTGCTACTTCAGGGTTCTGAACAGGGGAGGAAAATGATCTAACTCAGGTGTTCACAGGGTCCCCTGAGCTGGGGAAGATAATGATGCGGTGTCTTCCCTGGTCTCTCTCTAACTTTCTCCTCCTGCTCTTGGCCTCCAGTGGCCTCTGAAGCTATAGCCTTCGGGTGAGTAGTTTTGGCTTTGGAGGTAGGGGGAGCCTGAGGCAGGAAGACTGGGAGGAGTCGCTGTTTCCCCTCCCCTGCGACTGCATGACCCCTTCTCCTGCCCTCAGTACATTCTACTGAAAAACAGCCTGGAGCAGCAATTTCCAAATCACCTACTCTTTGTAAGTGTGTGGGGGTCCTGGGGGAGAGGGGAGTGGTCAGGGATCTGAGATCCCCAAAGGGCTTGGAGGGGAGATCTTAGCCTCCCCTACCCCCGCCATCTCCTCCCAGGAGGAGGACAGAGCTGCCCAGGCTACAGGGGAGTTTGAGGTGTTTGTGAACGGGAGACTGGTCCATTCCAAGAAGGTGATTCTGAGTAAGGGACCGGGACAGGGAGGTGGGGTGGTGCTGAGGTCCTGGGCGTGGGAGACCTGTGTGCTTTCTCCCCTCTGTGCCCAGAGGGGTGATGGCTTTGTGAACGAGTCTGGGCTGCAGAAAATTGTGAACGTCATCTATGAGGAGATCAAGAAAAGGTAGCCGGCAAGGGGTGGAGCTGGAGGTGAGCGGGGAGCTCCCAAGGCTGTGGTGGGAGGAGTGGGGGCCAGGTAGGAGGATGGGGCGGGGCTCTGTCTCAGTCCTGATCCTACCTCACTGTTAGAATCATGACAAGTCACCTACACCCTTTTCTGAGCCTCAGTTTCCTCATCTGTAAGACCCTGGGGTAGGACTGTGTTCAGTGAGTTTGAAAAATAGCAAGGAGGCAGGGCACAATCCTAGCACTTTGGGTGGCTGAGATGGCAGATCACTTGAGCCCAGGAGTTCGAGACCAGCCAGGGCAACATAACGAGACTCTGTCTCTACAATAAATAAATAAATAAATTAGCTAGGCACAGTGGCTCACACCTGTAATTCCAGCACGTTGAAAGCCTGAGGTGGGTGGATTGCTTGAGCTCAGGAGTTAGAGGCCGCAATGAGCTCTGACTGGGCCACTGCACTCTAGCTTGGGTGACAGAGCAAGACCCTGTCTCTACAAGAAAAAAAAAAGGGGATGGGCGTGGTGGCTCACACCTGTAATCCCAGCACTTTGGGAGGCCAAGGTGGGCGGATCACGAGGTCAGGAGATCGAGACCATCCTGGCTAACACGGTGAAACCTTGTCTCTACTAAAAATACAAAAAATTAGCCAGGCGTGGTGGCGGGCGCCTGTAGTCCCAGCTACTCGGGAGGCTGAGACCAGAGAATGGAGTGAACCTGGGAGGTGGAGCTTACAGGGATCCGAGATTGCACCACTGCACTCCAACCTGGTGACAGAGCAAGACTCCGTCTCAAAAAAACAAAAAAAATAAAAGGAAGGAAAAGAAAAAATAGTGAGGAAACTAGAATGGGCATTGTAGTCCATGGAAAACAGTAGAACAGTGCCTGAGGCATGGTAAACCCTATATAAACACTTATTTTTATGGAGCCGTTATTGTTATTGTTATTTTAATTTTTTTTTCTCTCTTCTCTCCCATCTCAGGAGTCTCAGCGGGATGATGAGAAGGGCTGAAATGTTGCCAAGTCAGGTCCTTTTCTGATGGTGGTTGGGGCTGGGGTGAGCTCAGGGAGGGGAAGAGGAGAATACATGCAGTCTGCCCCCCTGTGTCCGGTCTGACTGTGTCTGCTGTTGCCACACCCACCTCTGAGGTCTGTGGAAGTCACCTGCTGCACTACTCCCAGCATCTCCAATATTCTAGCCCCAGGGGTGGGAGGGAGGAGGAGCTTGGAAGGCTAGTCCTGTGGCTCCAGTCCTCTAGCCTCCACTCTTCTTGCTGCTGAGGCCAGTTTGTTTCTTTGGTGGCTTCGTCATTTCTCATGCCCTGGTTCCAGATACACTTTGAAACCTTCCATCTTATTGGCATTTACTGGGGTTGTGAAGGAAACAGGGATGGCAGTCAGTCTCAAACTCTTGACACTCCAACTTGATTATGCTCCACGGCTCACTTTCTAAACCTGTAAGATCTATGTTCCAGCCTGGGCAACATAGTGAGACCCCAACTCTATAAAAAATAAAAAATTAGCCAGGTGTGGTGGTGTGTGCCTGTGGTCCCAGCTATTTGGGAGGCTGAGGCAGGAGGATGGCTTGAGCCCAGGAGGCTGCAGTGAGCCATGATTATGCCACTGTATTGCAGCCTGGGAAACAGAACGAGACCCTGTTTCGGAAAAAACTCATAGGTTTTAGAGTGACAGTGTTGTAGGGAGTGTCTCTGTGACCTGGGGCTGGGGGAGAGGCATTTTCACATTCATTGGACGTTAGGGGCTCTCTACTGTGCACCTGGCATGGTGGGGTCAGTGGTCACATGCCAGGAGGTCAAGGGCACAGACAGGGGGACTCAGACTTTACCACTTAGTTGCTGTGTGACTACCAATAAGGGATGCCACCTCTCTGAGCCTCAGTTTCCTCCTCCATAAAATGGATGTCGTAGCACTATTTAACTTGTGGAATTTTTGTGATAGTTACATACTAAATTATGCTTGGGAAGGGATTAGCAGAAGGCTTATCACAGAATTAGTAGGTTTCAGTTACTAGTAGATTTTGGTTAGGAGTGCTTTTGCCTGCAAGTAACAGCAGACTTGACTGCCAATGTCTCATACAGTAGAAAACACAAATTCTGTTTTGTTTGTTTTTTGAGATGGAGTCTGGCTCTGTCACCCAGGCTGGAGTGCAATGGCGCAATCTTGGCTTACTGCAACCTCTGCCTCCTGGGTTCAAGTGATTCTCCTGCCTCAGCTTCCCGAATAGCTGGGATTACAGGCATGAACCACCACACCCAGCTAATTTTTGTATTTTTAGTAGAGATGGGGTTTTGCCATGTTGGACAGGCTGATCTCAAACGCCTGACCTCAAGTGATCCACCCACCTCAGCATCCTAAAGTGCTGGGATTACAGGCATGAGCCACCTCGCCCCGCCTGATCTTTTCAACACCTCACAGGATAATGTGCTGGCCCTGTACAATGATATGCTGGTGTGAGCAGGAAATAATTTATCTATCATGTCTGCTAAGACAGAGTGCTGGAGGGCAGGGGAAAGTCCCAGAACATATATGGGGTTTGTCTCAGTGAAATCTGTATGTGTCAAGTGGCATAAAACATAAGAGGATATTTCCTATGTGAAAGATACTTTACACCCCCTACAGTTAGGGAATTGCTTTTTTGTTCTGTTTTGTTTTGAGACAGAGTCTCGCTCTGTCGCCCAGGCTGGAGTGTAGTGGCACAATCTCGGTTCACTGCAGCCTTGAACTCCTGGGCTCAAGTGATGCTCCCATGTCAGACTCCCAAGTAGCTGGGGTTACGGGCACGTGCAATCATGCCAGGCTAATGATTTTGTTTTTTGAGACAGAGTCTCACTCTGTCCCCCAGGCTGGAGTGCAGTGGTGTGATCTCAGATCACTGCAACCTCTGCCTCCCGAGTTCAAGCCATTCTCCTGCCTCAGCCTCCTCCTGAGTAGCTGGGATTACAGGCGCGCGCCACTATGCCCAGCTATTTTTGTATTCTTAATAGAGAAGGGGTTTTGCCATGTTGGTCAGGCTGGTCTTGAACTCCTGACCTCGGGATCTGCCTGCCTCGGCCTCCCAAAGTGCTGAGGTTTCAGGCGTGAGCCACTGCGCCCAGCAGGCTAATGATTTTTGTATTTTTAGTAGAGACGGGGGTCTCCTTATGCTGCCCAGGCTGGTCTTGAACTCCTGAGCTCAAGCAATTCACCTGCCTTGGCCTTCCGAAGTGCTGGGATTACAGACGTGAGCCACCACGCCCAGCCAGGGATTTGCTTTAATCACACTTTTATGAACTTGGTGACACCATCCTGGTTCAGAACGCCTAACATACCTGATAAAATATTTTTATTTTTTATTTTTTTGAGACAGAGTCTCGCCCTGTCGCCCAGGCTGGAGTGCAATGGTGTGATCTCGGCTCACTGCAACCTCCGCCTCCCGGCTTCAAGTGATTCTTCCTGCCTCAGCCTCCTGAGTAGCTGGGATTATAGGTGTGCGCCGCCACACTGGGCTAATTTTTTGTATCTTTAGTAGAGACGGGGTTTCACCATGTTGGCCAGGCTGGTCTCCAACTCCTGACCTCGTGATCCGCCCACCTTGGCCTCCCAAAGTGCTGGGATTACAGGCGTGAGCCACCGCGCCCGGCCTAAAATATTTTAGAAGTATTTTTAATGCAAAATTGAGCTGGTGGGAAGGTAAGGGAACTCCTGGAGTCCAGAAATCTTATAGAAATATAAATCCAGAGGTGTGTGGTGTTGGAGTTGGTACTTGCTGTGAGGAAATCTGCTAATTTTGATGATGAGAACCTGCATGACTCAAAATGTGAAGGGAAAAGACAGAACCCAAGGCCCAAGCAGGATGAGATGCCAGAGTGGAGAGCACGTGGATGCCGGGAACCCCAGGAGGCAGTACCCTCCAGTGGGTAGGATGGGAAAAAATGCCCCTCACAGAGGTAGGCGGTTGGGGTGATTAGCTATCTTCACCTTGTTAGTGAGCAAATGATTGAAAGAAAGCCTTCTGGGCCAGGCGCGGTGACTCAAGCCTGTAATCCCAGCACTTTGGGAGGCCGAGGTGGGTGGATCACGAGGTCAGGAGATCGAGACCATCCTGGCTAACACGGTGAAACCCCGTCTCTACTAAAAATACAAAAAAATTAGCCGGGCGTGGTGGCCGGCGCCTGTAGTTCCAGCTACTCTGGAGGCTGAGGCAGGAGAATGGCGTGAACCCGGGAGGCGGAGCTTGCAGTGAGCCGAGATCGCCCCACTGCACTCCAGCCTGAGCAACAGAGGGAGACTCCGCCTCAAAAAAGAAAAAAAAAAGAGAAAGCCTTCTGCACTCACAAATTGAGGACCTAAATTCCCGCCATCTGACAAGTACAAAATTTCATCTAAATTAATGTCTGGTTAGGAATGTTCCCAAGTACATGTTAACATTAAACAGAAGTCAACTAAGATGCTAAACCATTTCCCAAGTAGTTCCCAAAGATAACGTTTTGAGGAACATGAGTTAGCCATGAAAAGGTACGGGACATGGTGGCTCACACCTGTAATCCCAGCACTTAGAGAGGCAGAGGCGGGAGGATGGCTTGAGGCCAGGAGTTCAAGACTGGCCTGGGCAACATAGGGAGGCCCTGTCTCTACAAAAAATACAAAACTTAGCCCAGCATGGTGGCATGCGCCTGTAGTCCCAGCTACTCAGGAAGCTGAGGCTGAATGATTGCTTGAGCCCAGGAGGTCGAGACTGCAGTGAGCCAAGATGGTGCCACTGCACTCCATTCTGGGCGACAGAGTGAGACTCTCAGAAAAAACAAAAACAAGCAAAAAAACAAATGGTGGCTGGGCGTGGTGGGTCACGCCTTTAATCCCAACACTTTGGGAGGCTGAGGCGGGCAGATCACGAGGTCAGGAGATCAAGACCATCCTGGCTAACAGTGAAACCCTGTCTTTACTAAAAATACAAAAAGCCGGGTGTGGTGGCATGTGCCTGTAGTCCCAGGTACTCCAGAGGCTGAGGCAGGAGAATCACTTGAACCCAGGAGGCAGAGATTGCAGTAAGCCGAGATTGCACCACTGCACTCCAGCCTGGATGACAGAGTGAGACTCCATCTCAGGGGGAAAAAAAAATGTACTATGGAAAATGAGTAAACATGCATAAATGCATAGAAAATGTTAAAACATTCTGCAAACAACCCAGATGTCCAAAAGATGTCTAGTTCATTATACTAAGATACAGCCTTACATTGTAGCTGTTAAAACAAAAAGCCCAGTGGAGTAGCTCATGCCCAGCACTTAGCACTTTGGGAAACTGAGGCAGGAGGAACAGTTGAAGCTAGGAGTTGGAGACAAGCCTAGACAACATAATGAGGCCCCATCTCTTTCTATATATATATAAAAAAAGAAAAAAAACCCCTGATATATAAATCTCTCCATATACAACTGAAAAAACTCAAGATGCTGATAGAGGTATATAATATGCTACCTTGATTTTATATTTTTTAAAATGTATACCACGTGATGCAAATTAACTGCCTTGATTTTAAAAGGGAAAATGCACAATATTTAGATTGATGTTTATTTGCATATGCATTAGAAAACTTGAAAGGCATACAGTGAAAAAGCAAAAAACAAGCAAAACCAAGAAAACAACGACAACAAAACCCCAAGCCATAAGCAATGACACCTGCATAGAATAGTTCTGAGTTTGACAGAGGACAGCAACAAGAGAGAGTTCTCACAGCATCTTTTGATACTTTTTTTCTTTTTTTTTGAGACGGAGTCCCACTCTGTTGACCAGGCTGGAGTGCAGTGGCGTGAACTCAGCTCAGTGCAACCTCTGCCTCCCAGGTTCAAGCGATTCTCCTGTCTCAGCCTCCCAAGTAGCTGGGACTACAGGTGCGTGCCAGCACACCCGGCTAATTTTTTATTTTTAGTAGAAATGGGTTTCACCATATGGGCCAGGCTGGTCTTGAATTCCTGACCTCAGGTGGTTCACCAGCCTTGGCCTCCCAAAGTGCTGGGATTATAGGCGTGAGCCACTGCGCCCAGCCGATACTTTTTTTTGTTGTTGTTGAGTCTTGTGAATAGAATACATATTCTAGAATAAAAAGCTTAAA